GCTTCTTCAGGCACCTGTACCAAACTACTCGAAAATTTCTTAACTGCATATTAATAAAAGATAATTTTCTCTACTGCGATATTTACATGCTTTTGTGGATTTTCTAAAATTTTATTGAAATAAAACTTTTAATTAAACATATTATTAAGAGAAAATATTGTTGGTTAGTCTTTGCAAATGCAGATCCAGCAATTGTAGAAAATGTTAGGGCTATACTAACAAATTCGCGTTAATCGTCAAACTGACCTAGTTCACGGACGTCGCAACGGCGGCGGCACGACGCCCAGCTAGGGTTATTGCCTTAGTGCAACGATCTATCGCGTGCAACGCTGGAAATTACATTGATTCTACGAAATACACTCAAAATTATGCTGGCTAAGCTTTGCTTTGTTGCTAGAAAGCCATGGCTTTTATTGTAAATCTACACTTTGTTGGTAAGACGAATATGTATGTTGTTTACTTGTTTGTAAAAAAATAAATATAATATATATATCATATAAATGAATTATTGGGTAGGCCTATTTCATCTAAGGTTACAGGCCTGTAAATATTTCTACCTCCGCCTCACTAATTGATGCTTTAGAAGTAAGGTTCATTTTATAATTATAATTTATTTATGGATTAGTCTTTTGTGACTTGAATAATATTTTATTAATGATGCAATTTTTTTCTTATTGTTCTTCATTGTTAACTACTAAATATTAAGTATATATTTTGAATGATGCGAGTTGTGTGTACCTACTACTTGTTTTAAAATTATATACATATATTATTTGTTTTAATAATTTTACATGTTTACAACAATTTCTTAATTTACATTGATATCTTCTCATAGGATTCAAGAATATATTCAGCTACAACAAACTCTGCAGGTACCTAACTTCACTTACATTAAAAATACAATAAATTGTAACTTTAAAACCAGATCACCTAGTTTATCAATGAACATTACAATTGAACAGTCACAGCCCAGTGCTTTTAGACCATTTATCAGAAATATCAATTACAAAGATATGTTATTTTACAGGCTATTTCAAATATAATCAGTAAAATGATAGACAATTAAGGAGGAAAGTTTCAAAAATAGTGAAGTTATAACTTAGGCTCAGGTTAATGTTTTAATTAAGAAGTATAATTTAAAATATTTTAATAAAACTGAGTTTTAGAGTAGTTCAAAGGTTTCTTATCTCAATAACAAATTAAAACAATTTCATATCAGGGTAGATAACATAATAATGTAGAAAAATAGCTCTAAGACAACTCAAGGACAGTCTGATTAGCAGACTGTGTGATGTAATTACCTTACATGTTCTCACTAATAACTTAGCAAGGTAAAGCTAATCTACTTACCTCAATTTTGTTAACATGCTAAAGTCAGATTCACACCTATATTCAACAATATTTTTAGTATTGTATTATGTGATACCTAGTTTATAAATAATGAAGTAAAGTAAGTTAAATACTTTGCTATAGCTTAGTTAATATAACTAAATATTAATCGTAATTTTTCTACACTTACTGGGAAAGCGTTAATTCAAACCCATAGCACGCGCGAGAAAAATCGATATTTTGAACACATACAAGACAAAACTCAGAACGTTGTAGTGAAGGAATTATAACCCATATTTTGTGTTATTATTTTATATGCAAATCGGTTTTCTGAAAACTGCAAATAAGAATACAATAAGAAATTATAAAAAACGAAAACCGGCACTTACCCATTTTTCAAAGTTGTTGCACTTTACTTGGACCGCAGAACTCAAATTATAAATCTAACAAGCTCCATAACAAATCACTCACGATCACACACACATTGTTGTTTTAAAACAATTCATTCACATCAAACTTTTTAATTACTAACTTTTTCTAATGCTGAAAATGCAACACTCCCTTTCTACGTTTTGAATCGCGGTAGCCGATTCGGATAATTGTCATTTGACAGCTGCTTTGCATAGACAACAGAGACTAAGTCTATAGAGACCTCGCAACCATAGACTCGAATAGCAATAGAAACTTAGGAACAAGGGACTGTCAATAGCTGCAAGTGTCAACTCTTATCCGTTTCAAATCACGCTAAGGTAGATTAAGTTTTATTGGTAAAATATTATACAAGGCGTAGGCGTAGTAATTTTTATTAGTTTACAAAACGTATGAATAATAAGCAGAATTTAGACATTAAGTCTAGCCCAGACTGTATCAATTCGAATAAACGTCGAAAACATAAGGTTTTCGACATTAGAGGGGCTGTATTTTTTTTATAGCACTAAAGTGTGCTTTTACTTTAATAAGCCTCTATAGAGGGAAGTATGTAACACTAAATAAAAAATAATAAACGCTTCATAAAATGCGTGCTTTATTGATTTTAACCTGTCGGTATTATAGTACGTCATTTAAAAATTAAATTGTACGTTTGTTAACAAAATAAATCCCAAACATAACACATTTGCGTGAAAGGAAAACCCACAAGCGTAGAATATTTACAATACCAAAAATATTACAACTAAAATGAGATAAGCGAATATAAATAGTTTTATCGAAATATGTTATATCTAAATAGGAAAAATTAGACCAAACGGCGAAAAACTCCATACAATCTATACACAGAACATTAATAGCATCAGTAGCATTTTGCAAACAAGTGTACAATTTACCTGTAAGCGTATTAAGATTCAGCGTTACGCAAAATTTTGAGTTACCTACAAACATTTGTCCCAATTACTTTCTGCCTACACACACCCACAATATCCTACACATTAAATGAAATTGAATGAATGTTGTTAGAAGTTGGATATTTTTGGAACCATAAGGATGTTTTGTAAGAAATCATTAGACTAGTAATTGTTACATTGAATTATAAAAAAATACTATGACAAAAAATAAAGGAAAATATACACTTGTAGACAAAACACATTCTGGAACTGTTTGAAAAATAAATTAATTTTTAAGAAAATAAAATTTACACCTCTGATGTTTTAAATGAACCATCGCAAACCAATTTTTATATTTGCATACCATAACACTGAATATAATAAATATTAAAAACTTATCTCTCTGTATGTACATTGAATATCTTTTAATAGACTCTCCTTTATTCAACAAATCCGTTTAATTAAGCATTAGAGCATTTGGAAAAGAATGCTTATCCGATAAATGACATCCATGTTTTTATTACGCAAATATAATCTTTTAAATTCTCAATGACAGTACACTATTTTTACAATAATAAACTAGTAAAATAGTGTACCAACCATGTCCATGTTAATTTTTACACAACATATTAGATTCCGTTTCTTCCAATTATATTAGTATAACACCTAATTAAACCGACTTGTTATCGTATAATTTTGAGCGGTTTTACTTTGGATACCGAGCACTTTGCAACTGCTAACACAATGTACTGATCTATTCTTTCTAATAAGTATTATCCTAAATAATTAAGATCTTTCTAAGCGGCTAGAAGAAATCGAAAAACTATTTAAAATATTGCGTTAAATTACTCTATGTTAAACAACAGCTTAATTAAGTAAAGTATAGCTGGCAATTCTAAGTTGGCACATTACTATTGCAAATTCCTTCAATCAACTAGTCTGCGTGCGACCTAAAAAAATTGCCAACTATATTGAAATTTGTAAAAGATGTTGCAAAGTGTTGCCTGTAAAAAATATAGTAGGGGAGAAGTGTGGTTTGTTTAATTTATTTTACGTTTCAATTTACGCAATATTGAATACCAATTACCAATCTAACCGAACTCTTCCTATACTATATAGCAGCGTACACTAACAGTGTGTAAAAATAAAATCGTGAATCTTTAAACAATTTTCAGTAACGGTGATTTAACTTATTGTTAACTTTATTATAATTATCACCGAGTGCTTTTAAAACCTTAACAATATTCACATTAAACGAACGAGGCGTTAGTTCGTTAAAAACATTTTGAACTGAAGGCTTGATTAGAATTAATGTTAATATTGCTAATTTAATTGCGTTCAAAAGTATAACAAATCCAAAAATAGAAAAGTTCTATAATTATCGTGTTTGTCATGCTTTTGAACTTATCTTATATCGATGTTAAAGCAATAAGTTTATTGCATGGTAACAGTAATATTATTGAAAAAATAGGCGTGTTTATACAGCATCTTTTTATATTAACGTTGATTTGTAATGAAACAAATGATTATTGGAAACAGAGCCAAAAATAACTTCTTCACTTACGTCTTTTCGACGATTTTGAGGACGTACAATTTATAATATAATATTAAACGTTAAATATAATAATAAAATTGCAGTCTCTAAACTCTTTAAATAAGAAAGCTCTGCTTGCAATAGTCTTAAACATTAAAATTGCATTGAAAACGTTGTTTTAAGATAAAAATAATACGAAATACATAACCTAAAGTTGGATGACCACAAAATAGGTTTCTGCAAGACTTCTGATATATAACAATTTCCCTGGATTCTTATAAATTGACTAAGGATTTAAACGTAGTTGAGATAAAAAAATATTTTTAACACTTTCATGTTATAATTTCAGAATATTTAAATATCGCTTCGTTGACGTGTGCCTTATCTAAAACAATATTGATTATTAACGTTATACTAGATGCATAAGAGAATAATTCATTACGTTGCTAATGAATATCGCTGTCCCTTTCTGCGACATATTAAATGAAGAGGACAGCAATACTATTGTAGATCTATGTTTTGATTTGTTTATTCAGTAAGGCAGGCCTCGTGTATATTTTAAGGCGTATAAGGCGTATTTACGATAAAATTTTAATCTATAAGCAGTTTTTAAACATGTCTTGAATCAGCTATTCCTGTCTACCCGATTTAATAGTGTAAGCTAATGATTTTGTTTCAATTTTATTCTCTCTAAAACACAGGCCGAATTTGGTGTGGAAAAATCTGAGTTGAAGAAGATATAACTTAAAGTGGTCGAGCGTATAATATGTTGTTTTAATTGCCTTAAACATTGGGCCGGTAGTGTGTGTGAGTAACAACTATTCTTCGTCGGTATCTGGATCGCTTGAAAACTCTGCCGTTTGGAGCCGGGGCGGGAACGGGCCACGGGTTTGTTGTCTGTAACAAAAAAAATATTAGTCTCCTTATCTTGTCATAATACAACCTTAAATTTTCCTACCACCTATAAAACCTGACAAACCTTACCGAAAAGAAGTTAATCTTGGGTCTATACTAAATTATTTATAGATAAATTTTTGTGCATTTTCAAGATTTGGGTAAAGGTATTTTTTTAGTTTGGTTTAACAAATTTAATAAGTAAAAAAAAAAACAGGCAGATAAAGTAAAAAAAATTAGACATTAGGTATCATTCCTAGGATTTCACTCCATATACCTATTCTCATTCTCAGTAAAAGTTAATATTTTTCTCCCTTAAAATCATGAAAATATGTTCACTACCTTCGAGCTTCGAGAATTCAAAACAACTAAAATTCTTTTGGACTACTTGGATTACATATTGAAATGTATAAATTAGTCCTGGCTTATCAACCCTAACCTAACCTTAACACTTACGCGAGACGGCGGTAGTGATTAAGCCACTCTTCCAACATCTGCGCTTGAAGTAGAGGGCGCGAGTGTATCCGCTGACGAGCTGCCAGCACACCCCCTTCTGTCACACACGCGCATGTCCAACGACGAACGACACCTTCCTCGTCAGCCATCTGTGGTAAAATTCAAACTATATTAATAATATTACAATAGTAATATTGTGTCTGTCTGTTTGTTTGACCGTTTTCCACGGCAAAATAGAGTGATGCATTGACGTGATTTTTGTAAGTGGATATAGTTGAAACAATAAAGAGACAGAAAGGTTATTTTCGTCGTTATTATTAAAGTTATTTCGTGGTTAGGAAGACCTAACCCCCCTCCACTTCCCTAAAATAGAGGGTGAGAGTTTGTTTAGAGCATTCAGAAATTTTCAAAGTAAAAAGTAAAAAAGCAGACTATTTGCGCCAAAAACAACCGTACATATTTCTTATTTAAATCTATTTGTCTTCTAAACTGTGTTGCCGCGGGGACAAACAGGGGGAAAAGTTTGATAAAGAAAAATGAATAAAATGCTGAAAAAAGTCGTACGTACCTCATCACAAGTGAGAAAATGGACAGGCAATAATTTTCCTTCAGAGTCTGTGAGGGGGAGAAAAATCATCTCTTCGCCGTCTTCATCTTGTTGCTCGCTGTAATTTTGCCAACATTAACAAACAAAGCATACAAGTTAGTAGTCGAATTTTTAATTTATATGTTTTTATTTTTGCGTAGTTGAGTCTTGGCCTTCAATGGCCTTCGCTGTGTAAACGGTGTAGGTAAGTAAAAAAATAACATAGTAAATAACTTACCGGCAAATGTAATCGTGACGATGCGAATACGGCTCTAACGGAACGAGGGCTGAGAAATGACCGCGCGTGTAACCGAGACACAGAGGAGATTTTGAACAAAACTCTGCCTCCCAAAGAAGCGGTAAGTAAATACCTGAAAGTATACAATAATAAGAATATATAAAATAAGAATAACTTTAACGTTAATATCGATTCTATAAAAAAAAACAATTTCCACCGTTTGAAGCGAAGTTTAGTCCATTTATTTTTAATTTTCACAACAACCCGACATATTGGAACATGGCTGTGGCTTGGTCAAGTGATCCAAAACTAATGTACTGAAGTATGGTATTTTTTTTTTAAATAAATAGCTTAATAACCTAGGTTTGTGATTAGGAAGGTAACCAGAAACTTGTATATAATATATAATCACCTTGAAACCGTGCGTAACCTAGCGCCTCTCCTCGAAATGAATTGACTACGTCCACACCATAGACTAACACAGGTCGACGCATCACATGCGCCAGCGCAAACACGTGTAACTGTATAAAAAAGTTTACGTTAATTACAATGTATAAATAATTAAGTAAATTAAAAACGGAATGCAGGCCCACATTGGTATAACAACCGCATACAATTTTTTGACAAGTGTTTTAGTGGTAATTGCTATACTTTAGACATTTGTAAGTTCTAGATTAATAGCAGAATAATAAGCCAGCAGCAATAAAAAACTAAAGTAACCTGATGCAATGCTGTGCCAGGTCTTGCAGCAGCCGCGAGTAACCGTCCCCACTCCGCACGTAGTTGAGACTCTTCGGGCGCATACTGTAACTGTGACGCTTGCAATCTCTCCCAAGCTTGCCATCGGGCATAGAAACTAAAAATGGTTGCCATAATTAATTTTTTATCAGTTTCTGACGATAATATTAATCTCGATCATGGCATTCAGGTTTTTTTATGCCTACGAGAAGTCATAGACTGCTTACCGAAACAAGTTATTTAAGAAATAATTATAAGAAGAACACAATATTATGGTAACTCGTTTTGTAGGGTAGTCTATATAAGACAATCTTACAGTTAATATAGATGCTATTGAGAAGGCCACAAATTTCATGAACTTGAAAGAATATAGGTATTTTAATATAAAAGCGCAAGAATTATAATTTATAAACTATACAGAGCTTCGTTCGTTAAGTGTATTGACTTGACTGTGGGGAAGGTGTGTTACAGGCTAAACTATTGTATTATGTACCGGAACAATGGAGCTAACGAATATAGTCCTTCGAGCCGGAGTCGTTATTTAGGATTAAAAAATGAAAAAGAAACATTATCTAAACACCCACAAACAGATACCGTAAATTTATATAGCAGTGATTTATTAGGTTTTACCTTCTGTGCGCGTGATGGAGCGTATCAGCCAGGGCAGCTCGCAGTACATTGGCTCGATCAAAAACACCATACGCAGCTTGGCACACTGCGTCGGGCAAACAATCACCGGCCGAACGGTTCCATAAAGCGTATAGACGAGATCCTGCATAGTAAATTTGTATTGATTTTCATATATACATAGTAGAATACGGTCAAAGGGCAATAATAATCAATGAGTCGTGGGTCTAACACATTTCTAAACAGTTAATGTATATATATTTTTTTATATTGTCGGACAACATTAAAACTCCTTCCGAGTCATTAACTACCGTCCACAGCTGAAAAAGCGGTAAAATATAGTCGCGTCGGTTTCAGTCTGTTGATTCCGAATAAAAATAGGTACATATAAGGCTGAGATATTTTACATTTCATCAAGTAAACGTATGCTCATCTGTCAACTATGTATTTATTTTGAGCATTAGAGACATGACCTAACAACACATAAAATTTTGCATAGGATTCTATTAACCTGAATTGCTAATTAACACAGTAGAATTAATTAATTTGTTTAAAAATTCTCGACACACCATAAACTTTAATATTTATGTATATAGTTCGCGGCACGGATGTTTAGAACTGAACGAAAAGTAGAGGGGATAGTTGCGCATCTGTACTGCACTCGCTCACGTAATTGACTGGAAAACGTGACTGTACTCGAGAAGCAAGCGGAGCGTCGTATTGGTCCGAGAAACACAACACGACTGGGGAACCAATCAACGCTCGCTCACATGACGTTCATTCACCCCGCGCCCCGCTTCCGTCCATTCGATACCTTATTTTTGACTTCTGCGCAGGATTCGCTCAGCGCTAAAGATCCGTGCCGCTACCTATATCCATCAACTTGTTTATTTTTTTTTTATATGGTATTCTGCAAAGTCCAATACTGCATAATCAAACAATATTATCATAGTTCAACTTACCTAAATTGATAGTGAGTTCGCAACTCCAGTTTATAAGCGGCGTATCTGTTTCTAGGGTTTGTTGTGCTTCTTTATCTAACAGCTCGGCGAAAAGCTGTTCTTGTATTGGAGCTGGCAATTCATCTATTTCTATAAGATTAAGATGAAAAGCATTTAGTGCTAGATATTTTAATGAAGAACCTACTTATAAACATATTGTTCTAAACTAGGCCTTATGTTAAATGTGGTAATTGTAGTAACACTTCTTATTTCCATAAATATGGTAAAAAACATTGAAATACCTGCTGGCAATGAGAAAGTACAGATCTCATTGATATATCTACAAGGAAAGTTTCCTTTTTTATGTCGAATACAACTTGCTATGTGTCGCCTGATTGCAGATGCTAGGTCCGGAGCTGAAATAAATGATTTAAAAGTTAGGACTATCAGTTTGTTTTACTTAAAAGAATGACACATTTATTTTAAAACACTTTTAACGGTTTAAAACACGAAACGCTTTGCTGCAGCCGTGGGGTGAAGAAGACTGAAGATGGAGTGTCTCTAATGTTAAAGTCAAATCTGCTACACTAACCATATGGCGTTAGGGTAGCATAATTTAAAACATGGTTATTCATTTTTGTCCAATAATTGTATATATATTACATTTATAATCGAAAAATGAGATTACTAACCTACATATGATGGTGATCGTTTCAGTCCAGGTCCACCACCCGAAATTCTAGAGAGTAAAGTTGACAATATTTCTTGCCGCTGAAATCTGCAATAAATATTGTAGTTTTTTTTTATGTATTAAATGAGATAAGCAACAACAATTCAACATGGTATGAGATTTTTGAAATGTCAATCTATTCTCCGAAACAAGATTATATTATATAGCATAGTAGCAAAATATTTACAGTTTGAAACGGTTTTATTTATGCTGGTACTAGAATAACCACAGTTGTATGATTCTAAAATTGTAGACTGTAATTTATTAATAATGTACCTTATATTTGGTCTTTACCACACAATATATTCAATTTATTAACACATAAGCCTAGATATTGTTAATATTATGTTTCACACACTGTAATACCCTGGCGGGCAATTTCAAATAAATAAAATAAGCCTGCTAAGAGCCATAGTATTTATACAAAGTTTGCAAACTACCTGATAGCCAGATGCACCAAGGTGTGACCCGGATCAAATGCGGAGGCTCTATTGAGTAAAGCCACTTCAGGTGCCGTCAGGGCACGAGCCGGTGAGCCTCCTGCTGCTAAGTAAGCTTCTACACATCTAGCATCACCTTCGACTACGCCTGTAACATAAAGGTTTTTTTTGCACTCTGCATGTGATTTTACTGGCTTATTAACTTTTGAAAGCATGATCCTTGAGGACAACAACTAAAACTTACCCAAACAAGCCTGTAACCACATCCAGTCAGTGTTATTCCGTCGTTTGGAGCGACGTCCATTGGTATCTACTTCATGTATGGACGCATTTTGACTATTACATATATCATTAATACCTGCAAGAAGAAGCATTTTTAACTATTCTGGTACAATACGTTTAAATGTTTATTACCATTGATTTGGTATCATATTTAGTAGATTTTTTTGTAGCTGCTTACTTTAAGAATCAACAAATGCAAATCCATAAAAATATGTTGCAGTACAAAAACAGTATTCTTAAAATTAGAGAAAGATAAAATAGTATGGATAAAGTATCAAGTAAGGTATAAAGTCTAATAAAACTGTTATATAACCAAAAAACATAAAAAATACCAATAGGTTTAGGCGTATCGTTGTGCGGGCGCGGCGGAGAGAGGGCACCACACATTGCACACTTTTGTGATCGAGGCCAGTTCTCATATGTACAGGTCTGGAATCAAAATAATGTCCTTATATACAATTTTAACAAAGATACAAACAACATTACTTCCAAGTTTTAGAAATTACCTCTATCTAATAACAATAAGATTTTAAAATTCATTAAAGCCATATGAAACATTACCAATGGATAGTTATTTGAAATGTAATGATTTATGTTGCAGGTTACACAATATACTTACACCACACGGCCACTTATTAATTGATGATGCGCTAGCATGACCCTGCGGTGATGATATCCGCAGAGGTTTTAATCTTTCAGCTACCGATTCAGCACCTAGTATCATTTTATATTATACTTTATGTAACAAGGATAGTAACAACACTTCTTGGTTATTACAATATGTAAAAAAAAACAGTCTTACATATTAATTTTTTATAATGTGTTGTGAGCAGCTAAAACCCCTATATATATTACAAGATGTTAAGAACTCACCACAGGCGTCTTGGATGGGCAGAGCACTGGCACCATCTTGGAGCTTAAAAATATCTTCCCCGAGAGAAGGTTTTGGAGCACGACACATTGTGCACTGAAAAATATAAAGCATTGTTTGTATTTCTCATACAATTTATTTTTTTTATTTTCATGAGACAATATAATTCAGTTTAGAATAATTAATCTAGAAAAATGAATTGCTTATAAAATAAAACACTTTAATGGTTTAAAACGCGAAGTATATTAGATTGGGCAGGCACACCTGAAATGTCAGTGATAATTAAAAATAATTTAGAAACAAATTTAAATAATATATTTCATGTTTTAAATCATTACTACATTAATAAAATTATTAAAACGTATACTACTCACGTAAAACTGCAGTATTAAAATATATTGCTTTTAGTCTATTCTTATTTAATAATAAGAAAGCTAAATATTAGTGATGACATTTTCTAATACTAAAAAGTGGCACTATTATAGATAATGGACATAAAAAGCAAACAATACCTTCCGTGAGAGTGGGAAATTCTCATAGGTGCACATTTCACATTGCCATTTTGCATTATCAGTTGCCGCACCTCCTGTCATCTGAAATAAGAATGTGATTTATATGAAGTAAAACCATAAATTTTAATTTTAATGCTCACATTGTAGCAAAGTATATATCACATCGTGCATTAGCACAGAAATGACTACCGGAAAAATACTACAAAATATTTAATCCCCTTCTAATTTAAGGAAAGTATTACTTACAAATTAGTAGTTTACATTCATAGGGTAATAATAAATTTATCCAGTGTTTATCAAATGCTTTTTTCATTGATCCATTTTTTAAATACCAAATGAAGATCATGTTCAATCTATTTTATTTGGCTAGGATTTTTCAAATTCTTATTATTGTTACTACTTAACTAGCTTCAGTACTAATAGACACATGCAAACATACCTGAGAAAGATTAGTCTGTGACACATTTGTGGATGCTTCAACATGAGCTCCACATTCGGCTCCCAGAGTGCCTGCCTCTGCAGCAGCAAGTGATGGACTTTTTTTGCTGCCATCATCACATTCCTCACTCATTTTACCATCAATGGGAATAAGTGAACGACAACCTTTCTTCGCTGCTATGAAGCAGACATCTTACACGATTCCCATAAGAACGCTACACGCTTTTTGGCACAGATGAAGTCAAGATAAGACGTTGACAATTTATATCCTACGAAAAAATTGTTGAGATCAATGCACGAATTGATGAAATAATTCTTAACGTTGAATGTCGCAATGATTCCGTAATGACGAACCATTGCTTTATGTTTAAGCACAAAACTAAGAGTTTCGATTGACTTGGCAGATAGCATCGTCTTGGTATTTTGGCATTGTTACACAACCCTCAAGTTAACACTGCTTCGCGAGATATAAGGTCATGAATAGTTTTAAACGCCACGGCAAGTTGTACTCACATCTATGTCACTAAAAGATTTTACACTTGATTTCAATCAAATAATACGGTCACCGTTTATCGAATAAAGCGCTTGGAGTGCTCTCGGTTGATAACATAAACCAAAATAAATGGGGAAGATAGGAATAAAATGAAGAAAAACAGTCAACAGTAATGTAATGAAGGAAATTACTATTTTCTATATTATATTTTGACAAAAATAATTTTGCTGCATTTTATTTGACATAAATCCGTAGACACTAGAATAAAAACTTCAACATTAGTTATCTACCAATCGCGCACGAGAACGTCACAAATAAAAGGCTGATACCCAATTACTCAGTATGTCAAATGTTGAGTTCTTGATGTTAACCAATTGGAGTTTTTAAAATGGCGATCTTATTTAAAAAGTGGCATAGATCATATTATGTTTCAAATCCAAAATAATGTCTAATATAATTCTGACGACTAAATTGTGGAGCCTCTTCGAGGTTCCTCAAAGAAACGATTAATAAAGCGTAGTGCTAAAAAGTTAACTTCGTTAAGTACCTTTGTAACTTTTGCTTTATTTTATTTTGTCTAATATTGCTATAATATGGAATGATAAATATGACAAATAACATTAGGGTTACTGTGATCTGTCATTCGACATCCTAATACTTTCTTCTTCTTCTTCTTATTTTGATGGAATACCCATTCTGAATAGATTCTGCTCATTCTGCCAATATCATATGACCATGAGAGGACCGTCAATGCGCGATAGTATAAATTATTATTTTTATTTTGTTTTTTGACCACGCGGTATTAAGAAACATCACGGTATTTAAAATAATGTAGGTATACATTTTAAATGCTAGTAGCCCAGTCTTTTGGCTTTTAAAAGTAAATAGGTTAAAATTTATATTTTTTGCGGCTGCTTTAAATTTAACTATTGTGCATAAATTGTTGATTTTTTAAAGTAGTTTAATAAATATTACACGTTGTTGAAGTCTTTTTAAGCTTTTTAAGAACTTGCCGTTACAATAATGCCAATTTTAAATCAATTTTTTTTTATAAAATATTATATTAACACATAGTATGGTGTTTAATCGCATACAAATGGTTTAGACTAGATTAGACATAAATGTTGACTGTTATTTAAAGACACGTTTCAATTGCGTGGCCTGTGCCATATGCTTACCATTTTTTTATTTTCATTTCCAACATTTTAATAAATTTATTTAACCGATGATTAAGAAAATGTTATACATTACTAATAAAAAAATATTATTGATGGGATAGTATTTCACAGTTACTTAATACTTACCCGCCAAAAAGGTCATAAATTTATTGTAGATGTTAACACACTGATAGATATGACATAGAACATCTACTATAGTCTGCGTAAACAAGAATTCATGGACAACTCTATACTCTTTTCTTTATAACTTGCGAAATGTCAACATTTTATATGACAAATTTAGCAAGTGGCAACATTCATTTCAGAATTCTTATTTCTATGTGCCGGCATTGCACGTGAAGGTGTCGGAATATCTTAATTTATTACAAAAATCACCATGTCTGACGAATATTTTTATGGTAAGATATTATTGTGTTTTCGTGATGATTAAAAAGTTATTATTATTTTAAAATTTGCTAGTGTACTTTTTATGTAATACATTTGCAATTTAGTATGTAACTGACACCCGGCACTTCGCCATTTTCTTATACTTATTTCACCGTACTTTTCCTTTTCCACGATTCTTTTATTGCTCTTATTTAAGCGTTACTAGTTTTAATTAATTAGTAACTATTTATAACACTAAAACATGAAATCGCCCATGTTGCCGCCATTTTTTGTTCAATAATTTTGTATTGATAGGTGTGATATCGAAAGTAACAGTGTTATTTCATTGTATTTCCATGGTTTTATTATATATTAAGTTAGAAAGCATTGACTTCGATGCGTGAAATATTAAGCTGTTGCTCTGGCCTCTTAACGTGGTTTTAGCAAGGCGCGTAATTTGAAGTTTAGAATGGCGTCCATCAATATACTGGCGTCACAATTATAACCCTATGTTTAATGAACCCTGTCTTTGGCGTAAATGATTTTTGCTGCATAATAAACGTATTGTTGTATAATTTTCAATGTGCCATATATTTTCAGGTGTAACCCTCTCATCGTCACATCAATCTGAGACATGGGACCCAGAAGCGAAAGCGGAATACCCACGAAGCAATAAACTTCTTATTCGCACTGCGCTTCTCGGACCAGACGCTAAGCCCGACGAACTTAATGTTATACAGGTATTTATCAATTACAGACTTGTACCCTGCTGATAGTTGAAAAATTATATTTTTTATTGTTTTTTATTGTGTTTCTTTTCAAGGTTGAAACTATGTGCTTACAAGACACAATCAAAATCCCAGTTGCCATCCTAAAGGTTGGTGAAACAAGACAAGCTAGATTGGACATTGAGTTCCCAGATGCACCAGTTACCTTTACGCTTACACAGGTATGAACTGCTTGGGTACTTCTTGGCCTTTTATTAAGCTGTCTAAGTGATGATAAAACAACCATTGGTTATTTTGATGGACTGTGCAATGTCGTTTTGATGCTGTATGGTCCAAGCATGATTTCTCGAGGCATTTGTCTGATTATCTATTTAAAACGGAAATATTATATTAAGGTGATAAGGCTCTAATTAATATATATTTGGTATTAGGGTTCAGGTCCAGTGCACTTGATTGGTCAGCATTTACTTGGGGCTCTTGTTGAAGAGTTTGAAGATATGGAGGAGATGGAAGAAGAGATGCTAGATGAAGAGGAAGGTGATGACTCACAGTTTAAGGTTTGTACACTATTTTATACTATACAAAGTATATGATGTTGATATTATTTAGTTAATACCTCTGCTTATAATTATAAAATATGCCTTTACTATGCTTTCCTGTATAAATCTACAAGTGAACATTATAAACAATATTTACTCTTGGCTTGATTTGATTTCATGAAAATACAAATTTTTACTCTTAATATGCATTTCCAACCATTTTAATTTCCATCAGCTTTTTTGCCATTTATATAAATGTAGCACCTCAAAAAAATATTGAGATGCCACAAAATGTAAATAATACAGTAACCTTACTAGTAAATTCATTCAATAGCAAACTAAATTTGCAGGAAGATGAAAATAAAAGGAAAGCGGCTGGCAAACGCAAGACGAATGAGGTACTGAAAACCTTCAACTAATATGATTTATTTTATAATATGCAGACAGAGGGAAAAAGGCCATAGTCCATTTTTCCAAAATTTTGACAGTAAATGTTGGCATACCACAATACACAATCAAATCAAATAAACTGACAAATGCCATCAATTATTTAAAAAAAGTTGTTTGTTACCTGCTTTAACTTAACTTAACAATTCTTGCTTTCAATATAAAAATATTAATGCTGTCATATTTTGGTAAAACTGGGCCACAACAAAATTTTATTGTCCTAGAGGCAATATTTGTCCTTTTCTGATGATACAAATATTTATTGGCTGTTGGTTTTCTGTACTCATTCTTTTTTCCTTTTTTTTTTCGAAAATGGTTTGCAACTCCCGTTTTATCTATAAATAAGGTTTTTTAATTTACTTTTTATCCAAGGTAGTTACTGCTCCTGCATGACATTCTTTTGTCTATTACTACTGATATCATACGGCCGACGTAACTTGGCAAGTTTGATCTTAGCGCGAAACGCTGCGCAGAAACGTTCCTTAGGGTGTTAACTGTGGTAAGACTGAGGTGCGCGGGAGGGAGATCTAGGCTGGAGTTTATTCTATTAAATTTCGTAATCGGTTTTTATCGATTTTGATTATGAATTTTTTATCGTATGGGATATTGTAGTAAATGGATTTAAGAGCACAGTGAATGGTGTTATTAATAAATAATACCATGATGACTTTTAAAGAAAAATAAAATCATTAAAAACTTGTTTTTCTTTACTGAACGACGTGATTTAGTTAAATATGAGTTATTTTTTATATAATTACTGTTTACATATTTTAACCATCTTTAAAGCTTTTTATACAAATATATTTCTACGATCCAACAATTACACCTTTAGAAACGCGTATGGACATCTATTTGGTTATTTCGTAAAGCTTCGTACATATTCGGTAATGTTCGGTAAACAGTAGTGTCTCGGTCACTCCTTGGCGTTTATTACGTTATCTCTGTCTTGAGCGCAGTCTGTTAGAAAAGTTTTTTGTTTTGTCTTAGTATTTTAGTGAAAGATAAGTGTTCTTCGTAGCCCTTATTCTCTTTGAATCAATTATTGGTATGCTACTTTTGCTTGCTATAGGTAAAATCTTTCATTTATCCCAGTAACGAAAATGAATGGCAGTATTCGTTTTCTTTACGAGTGTACATGCACCAAAGTTTGTCTAACCTCTGTTCAGACTTGCCAAGTTACGTCGGCCGTAATATAACTGTGTTCAAACTTCAAATATTTCTTTAACTGTGAAGTTTTTAGCAATATACACTTATTCCACAGGACGATGATGACGAAGAGGGTGAACCAAAAGGAAAGAAGTCTAAAATGTCAAACAATGCCAAAGGCAAGGCTGCATCACCTAAGAAAAATGCCAAGAAGTGAATCCCGTGACGCGTCATAGCCTAGCCACACTGTCTGCCACACATGGGTCGATGTGAATACCACATAAAACCTAGGAGAGCAATCTCTGTGGTAACTCCACAAAATGTATGCGAGAGTATTCGTACAATGTAGTATTATTGTTTTATATACATATATTTTGGTTGTCTGTGCATTATTTTATCAGTCAATAGCTAGTTGAAATTTGAAAAGTTATTTTTCTATCATCACTCTTCCTAGTTTTTGTAAGGCATCATCCTATCAGTGAGTCATTGCCTCAAAGGTTTAATGCTGTTGTTAAGACTGAATTCATTTTTACAAATGGCTAATGTTAGGTAATTTGTACCTAGTTTTTATTTGTAGTAAACAGTGTGGCAGAGGGTGTCTTAGTTATAACTTAGAATGGTAAACTAGGATAACATGTGCGCGAGTGCTGTGTGAATGTTTGTAAATGTTACTGAAAGTCTGTTTACACGACGTCTATCCTTGTTTTGTAAAAGTTCTTTTTATAACTATTCCAAAATCAACAAAGGGTGATGTCAACTTTACAGTCGTAAGTAACTATGTATGAAATTGATTTTCTGAACTTAATTTTTTTTCATTCCTGTGTTATAGCATTAATAAATCTTAATTCATACAGATGTATTGTTTTAAGTTAATTTAAGCATAAAGTGTAACAATAACATAAATACTTGCTAACGATTTCTTAAATTCAGAATGAAAACTGATAATCTATTAGTTTGTTTGTACATATACATATTACATAAGAATGGTAATAAAATAAACCTTTCTAAGCAATTTACGTATTTTTTTTGTAAAGTAAGATTAAATGACCTCTGAAGTAAATTGAATACTTTGACAATTTTGGATTTCGTAAAAAAGTTACAGCGTGATATTTAGTTTTAGCACTTGTCACAACAAAAATAAGTTGTCTGATTTAAAATTTATTTTTATTTGTATCTACCAAGAATTATGTTACTTTTTATCAAGCAGAGCTTGTAAAATTCTGTTTCGTTCCCTTTGAATATTATTTGAATCTTCCATGACTTTTACAAGTCTTTCAAATTTATCTCTGTCTTTAATTTCATGAACATTTTTCACAATACTTGTGATTTCCTTTAAGGTGACATTATCCATACAGGAGTGTTTACATTCTTTTTTTATTAACTTAGGCTCGTTGTTATATATTCTTTCAAAGTATGAATAGTATGGCCATGTACTGCTTTTTCCAGTTAATTGTTTTCGATCCACCATTCGCAAGTAAGTCTGTTTCAAATTTCTAAACTTTTTATCACAATCCCCGGGTGTTAAACCAATTTTTGATGCAATAGCTCTCCATAGAGGCTTTTTTTTCACAAGTGGATCCCAGAATTTATCCTTATTCTCTAAATAAAAATTAAGTAACTCTTTTACATAGTCCTGTTCACCAGCTCTATATATGATCTCCTGTCCATCATCAGTGACTGAATAAGACTCATTTTCAAATATCGATGAAAACTCTTTGTAATATTTCCATTTTGTTATGGAGCGGCCCATGTCAAAGCGCATTTTTAGTCTTAAATATGTTTGTTTCATGTTTCTAAATTTTCTGTCACAACTGCTTGGACTTTCACCGACCTTTCTAGATATTTCTCTCCACAGTTCTTTTTTCTGAAATTTTGGGTTTTTAAACATATGAGCTATCTCTGCATAAGCATTTATAAGCACTCTAATTTTGTTCCTATCCCAGGGTCCTACATTTGGGTTATAATTATAATATATTTGTTCAAAATACTGATGATAAGTCCATTTGATTAATTTTCCAGTTTCTCGACTCCTTTGAAGCCAGTTAATGTAAGTTCTCTTTAGACTTTTAAATTTATGGTAGCAGTTATATTCTGTGGTATGTAACTGGGAAGCTATTTCTTTCCATACATCCTTTTGTAAGTAATTTGGGTCTCTAAATTTGTTTATATTATCAATATAGAGATTTAAAAGTTGCCTAATTTTTGAATCCTCCCACGGCTCCAACACAGCAGATAAGGGCTTGCAGTCTTTAAAAAATTCTTCACATATACTAAAGTACTTCCACTTAATATCCTTTCCCATTGCTTTCTTTTTCATTAACCTAATGTAAATTCTGCGGAGGCTTCGAAATCTTTTATCACATTCTTCTGGAGTGGTTCCTAAAAGAGCTGCAATTTCTGTCCAATCAATTTGATCAATTGTTGATGAATTATGTCCATTTTGGAGGCATAAAGTCAATAGAAGTTTAACTTTATTTTTATCCCAAAAAATTTCATCCTTAACAGGAATTGTCTCTTTACATACAACACTATCCTTAGTTGGCTCTTCATGTAGAGTCTGAGGTATACTGTCTACTTGCATATATTGGCGGTTTTCAGTGGTGTCCACAATATATCTTGTTTCCTGACCTGCAACTATAAATATAAGGTATGGGAATAAGGTCAATTCGTCCGAAACATATACATGACCATCATATAAAAATACAACATACTTTGTGGATTTTGAATGGTGAAATTATTACTGGAGAAAATAACATTACTGTGATCATCACGAACAACAAACCAATAATTTTGATTGTGAGTATTATTCGCATCCATTTTAATACCTTGTAGTGAGTATTTGCTTGATAAAAAAGAAGTAAAAATAAAAGAAATTCTTGTTATTCATAAATTAAACTCAAACATAACAATATGAATCAAACGCTGTCAATAATAGTTTTTTTGTTTTTTTTTTTACCAATTTTGGCAAGAAGAATTAACTATTTGCCAGTGTCAAGTTAAAATGTCAATTATTGTTTTTTTTACCATTTGTGGCAAGAAGAATTAACTATTTTGCTAGTGTCAAGTTAAAGACATAATAGTTACTAATTACTTTAGTAACCACAGTTGATGAGTTGACCACAGTAGCGGAAGTAGTTGACATAGGTAGGTAATGCAGTTACAAAATATTCACTCAGACTGTCAGCAGTCAAAGACGGCCAAATTAAATTAAAATTGGTATTATCTATCATAAAACCAATATATAATAGGTATTTTGTGTAACAGACCAAGCTGTAAGTCTATTTTATATAAAACTGTTGAAAATAACATTTTTTGAGTAAATTGTTTTCGCAAGATGAGCCTGGTAATGAGACTTAAACTAAGCCTTTTCCTTAATATATCTTATATTGAGATTTGTAGGTAATTGAATTGACAGTGAATTTATAAATCGTGGAAAAAAATATTTTTCTTATCTTGTCGATAGTAAATGATCATAGAATAACATAGAACGGCCTTTTTTGTTATTCTATTGCCTGTCAGTACTCAGTTGATTTGTCATTTTCATTTAAATTTAACGCTCTAATCTCTATCACTAACAGTCTATCCAAGTAAGGAGTTAAAATAAGAGTTATAATTGGTTTTATTGCTACTGGAATTATGTATTACTGATTAACTTTTGCTTAAGTGATTTACTGTATTTAAAATATAGTACACCTAAGATTGTTCCATATAGTGTTTATATTTTCTTGGACAGCCGGTTTGTTGCTTTGAGGTTGAAGTTTCTGAGGTTTGACATTAATGGCGGGAAAGTTTCATTGGTAAACAATGTCTGACGCGGTTTTTGATTTCGATAGCCAATAAGAAACTAAAAACTTAATAAACAACGATATCATCTCTAATACGAAAAGGATCTACAGGTAATTACGTTATGATAATATAAGATTTCTCGGTCCGGTATTTGTAATTGAATTTTGGTTAGAAATTAAACTTTAAATTTTCAGATGTCAGGAGGTAGACTTGTTGTTTTAGATCGCGCTGGTCGTGAAGCCAAGTTCTACAATTTAGCTGAGGGCTTTGCAACTCTTGGATCTGATCTTGCTTGCAACATTCGCTTAATGCTCCCTGCTGTCAGTCCACATCATGCAACTGTTGTAGTTCATACTCATCAGGTATTTTCGATTAAAGTTTTAATAGTACCCTCTATAAAGTATCCAATGGCCACAGTTTGACACTTCAAATAATAAATGTTCTAATGACACTGTACAATATTCTTGTATTGCAAAATATTTGCAAAAAGGAATGTTGTTTGTTGCTCATTTATGCTCAGAGGTTGATCATTATGGTAAAATGTGTTATCCCTAAAAAAAAATTCTTGTCTTTTGCCATGGAGGGAAAAGAATTATTGATGTTTATTTTTTAGTGTCAGTAAACCACAGTAAACATTTGAAAAACCTAAGAAGGTACTTCTGAAATTTTAATCTACCTACACAACTCAACAGTAAAGCAAAGTTTCACACTATTTTATTTGGTTTTTAATATGTTTGCCTGTTCACAGTGGGTAAAACTATATAGATCTATTCTCCTACCCCAGTGAAACAGGGGTTAGACACACTTCTGTATCCATTTTGTTTATTGAGATTTTAGATTTTTAAGTGTGGGCCTGGTAATTCCTTTCTGTATAATTGATTATTTTTTAATAGATACTCATACAAAAGGTGATAGCGGGCAGAAGGGTTGGGCACACTGCTAACCATTTTACCCTTCCGATTATTTCAGACTCTGGTCCATAATGTATCTGAGGGAGAGACCCTAGTGAATGGTGAACCAGTGAGTGTAGCAGCCTTAAACCACAATGATGTTATATCATTAGGTGGAAGAGACCTTCGTTGGGAGTATTTTGATCCTCATCTACATCAATCAACATCAAGTAGGCCACTAGCAGGTCAAATTTTGTATACAAACTATTTATTTACATTACCAGTTCAAAAGTAATAAAACTTAGTTGCTTAAATTTAAAATCTGTTATAAGTACCAACCTAAATATTTTAGCAGTTCTTTATAATTTAAATCAATGTTTTGCTTAACAAGTCTTTCGCAGAGATGTTTTCATATACTTTTTTATAATATGTTGATTATATTGTATCACGTTTTTAGCTCCTGGAGTCACTACAGCGAGTGGTCGTGGAAAAGCCCGTACTCGAGATCGTCAAAGCCTGCCTTACCGCAATAATCCTTTACAGTATCCGCAAAGAGCATCCATGCCAGGTTTGTTTTTAAACACAAAAATTTAAAATAATTTTTATATATAATTAATACAATGGCCATATCAAATATCTGTTTAATTGTTATTTACCACTAGAATTGGTCTATCATATTTTTTTAACAGTGACTCATAAAGTTAGTTTTATATATTAAATGTATGTGTGCTTCCAGCTACAAGTGTTAAACAAGTGGCAATTGTGCAACCCCAGAGACGAGACGCAAGTGAGTTATCTGTAATAAAATAAAATATTTTTATGCTAACAGCAATATTTTTACGGAGCTTAATTTTTTACTTGCTAGTTCATTCAGTTTATTTATGATCAATGTTGTTCATGATTGACACTTTACATTTTACATTTGTAGCAGTGCAGTCTAGCAAGTTTTCGGTCATGTTAAACATACAACGGCAAGATAACATAACAATTGCATCTGAACAAGCTGATACTACTTTGCAAGAAAGTACAAGGTAATTTTACAACCCATACAATTAAACTAGGACTTTATCAATGACTAGCTGTGTCAGCGACTTCGTCCGCGGGAATAGTTATTTTGGGCGAGTCTTCCTCGATAAATGTTCTAACACTACTACTAACTAACACAAAAAGAACTTTTCAATTCCAACCAGTAGTTCCTTAGATTAGCGCGTTCAAACAAACTCTTTAGCTTTATATATTAGTATAAATTTAATAAAGTATTGTCTATAGTTTACGCGAGTAGTAAATTTAAATAACACACTTAGAATTTACTACTAATATACCTTTTTTTTACTACACTTATAACGGGTATAAGTATATATCGAAATACAGTCAATATTTAGTTTGAGGGTTCTTTTAAATTTAGAGGATGATAAGCGTAGGGTTCATTTGATGGTAGGTGAAATACTGCTATCGACCTATTTTGTATTTGGATAGTGTACATATAATTAAAACGTATAATAACTTAACTAACATTCTTCTAATAGGAATCGACGATCAAATCTGAAAAGTCCCCAATCAAGTACAACTAAAGCTTCGCAATGGATCGAGTCACGAAAAGGTACTCGTTCTATTACACCGCTGAGCTCTCGGCTACCACTGTCCACTATGAGACCAGGAGTGACTCCCTCCGCGTCGCAGGCCAAAGTCACAGCGGAAGGTGACACGCCAAGGTCGCGATCAGCTGTGAATATTCGGCCTGCATTCTCACCGTTGCTTGGATTTCAATCGAAGCCCGTTGTGGCCTTAACCCGGCTGGTACTTACACCGACGCGAACGGGCGGGACATCGATGCGGTCTAAATCTACGCCACGGATTGTTAAACGCGTGCTACCGCCGCGTTCTAGGACTCTTACGACGCGGGCGAAAGCGCTCGCCGAATTGACGCCCGTGAATCGTGCGCGATCGGCGAATTCTTCGGGTACGCTGCGCAGGGACACCTCGCTACGGTCCACAGTGTTGCGAAGAACCCAAAATAGACCAGTCAAGATTGAGGCACCGACAAAAATTGGTAAGTTTAGTAAGATTTGTGGTCTAAATGTTAACAATAATGATTAGAAAAAAAAAATGTGTTGTGTTAAGATCACGATAAGTAAAGGTGTATGAGTTAAAACGGAAAATATGTAGTTATTGAAGTAATTTTACTGTTTATAAATTCTTATTGTCTTATTTTTTCTAATGTTATTTTGCAACTGCCAATGACCTATGAAAGTGTATATAGCGCATAATTGTACAAGCTTGCTTATTACAAATAGTAGTATAATATGGCGCTCCTAAAAACTGACCTCATTTATTTTTAATGACACGTAGAAAACGTAATACAAAAAAATCGGATATTTGACACACGAGTTGATATCAATATTACAACTGCATTAGCCTTAACATTGCCCATTAGGCTGTGGACACACATATAAGCCTATTTTTTGTTTTATTTAATCTAAATTTTTATAACTTCATGAAATATGTAATAACTTGTATATTTTTTATTGCTATAGAATATTGTTTAATTGAATTCGGTTTTTTTTTATTATGTCACTTCTGTATCAGTAATAAAAAAAAACAATAGTACATATATAAAATTATACGTGCGTATAAAGCCTTACAGTCGCGACAGTCGCGATAACGAAGAATTAAAATATTCTGTGGAAATTATTTACAAAAAGAAAGCGTTGTGGCATGACGTGAGGACTAATTAGTCGGCTTTCGGGCATCGACATTATATGTTCCGACTTTATTTTTCATACTAAATTTTAGTGAAATTTTTCATTTTCAAGTCCAACTCAAAGAATAATATAAATAACTGTTTTTTAACTAATTTTTATTTTCAAAACAAAATTCACTTATTTAATATCAGTCTACAAAATAATCAATTAAGCATGTTTACCAAATTGTTTAATTCAATTCGGTCTTACATTTTACTGTCCCTAGACCATACTAAACAGGCGGCGATAATGTTGATGACGCGTCACACTAAATCGAAGTCTCCAGGAACACCTGCTATAACTGTAACTCAGACAACACCCATAAAGACACCTAAAGCCAGCTCCATGCCGAAACGGTCCTACTCGCAGGGTTCTATAAAACGGCCGACAAGGAGTGATGTAAGTAATTGTTTCTGAATTTGTAGTATAGGTTAATATCAAAATACTTGGGAATCATAGACTTTGTAATTCAAAACTACCCCTCCTTTTTATATAATTTTTATTTATAAATGACATAAGGATAGCCCATATTCAAAATTTTAATAAAGTTGTTTTACATTCCAGACTTCACTTTTAGAAGTAAACAATTCAGTGGTGTCCGTAAGGAGAAGTAGTTCTTGCCCGTCATCACGAAAGAGTGTTATGAAATCGGCCCTAAAAGACCCTAAAAGCGCTAGAAAGACAGAGTCCATCAAGTTTGATTTAAGCAATTTGGAAAATGAAAACAGATCATCAGAAGCTATAACAATTGATACAACTAATCAGTCCTACGATAGCGTGTCTGGCAATCTTTCATACATGGAATCCCCTTCACCAAAAAGACCAGTATACTCTAGAAGCAGTCGCATCATTGAAAAGACCCTAGGAAGTCCCATGTGTCTAGTAGAACGCAGTTATTCAAACATTTCAGTCGCTTCTCAAAGAAGAAGTTCGCGTGGTTCGATTATTGTTAAGAAAGCTCTAGAAAGTTCAGACGTTGAAAACTCACAAACTTCTGTAAAAACTGCATCAGAAAGTAAATACTCTGTTTCTAAGGCGACAAAAAGCTTACGTTCGTCTAATACGGAAAACTATTCTATAGTTGATTTGGTTTCAATGGATTCGACGGCATATAATACGATCGATTCCACACCTTTTGGGACTCCACGCAGTAATAGCAGAAGAAATAGATCCGCCGAAGGCACTATACTCTCGAGCACACCATATAAGTTACCTCACAATCAAAGTATGCTGTCAAACTCTGTAAAATCCCCGGCGCTTACTCCGGAAAATAGCGATAATAGTAAACCGTTACCCAGCATTAGGGTGTCTAGACGGTCCCGCAGTCGGTCTAGAATCAATGACAGTGAAATATTATCTTTGGAAGATGAAGATTCCCCTAGAACATCAAAAAGAACCGTTAAGTCGGCACCCAGTCCCTTAGTTCCGAAGAGCTTATCTATCAACATATCAAGAAATCTAGATGGCACGGTCACACCCGAGAATGTCCCGAATAATGACGAAGTCAGCACGCCCGTGCTTAGTATTCAAAGACTTTTAGATTCAAGTCGCGGATCGTTCTCATCACAGAAATCGATAAGAAAGAGTGCAATCGGCAATAGGAATACCACTAATCCTAATCACGACCGTAGCAGCAGAGCGAGATCTAAGTCACTCGGCGTGACATCAAAACCTGATGAAGAAGCAGGTACGGTAACACCCACTGGAATGGTTGTCCTAGTACGAGAAGAGTTGAAAAATAAACACTCCACAGCTAAAAAACCACAATCGAAGAAATCTATTATCGATGACTTGAATCAATCGGACATAGTAAAAGAACTTTTTAGCAGTCCAGTGAAACGAAAGCTGTCGCGCAGTATGATTGAGTTTTCACAGAAAATGTTTGATGACGATGACGTACCAAGGAAATTGACCCGAAACACTACCATAGGTATGGTCGCAGGCGCACCCGAAAACTCATTTGATGATCGAACACAAGCCGTGACACCTGAGTTATTTATTAGTTCCTTAACGACGCCAAGCAACAGTCCGAATTTAGACGGAATAAAACGCCTCTTCGATGCTTCCGGCAATGAACTGACCGATGTTAGGAGTGTTAAAGCTAAGCTACGAACACCGCGTACTAGAATGTCACTAAAAAACGACCTAACAATATCAGGTACAAAGGGGGTCTTTGCCAAATCTCCCAAGAATCGATTAAGTTATGTGGAAATAAACGATTTGCGCAGGGTGTCTGGTGTAAAGCGACTTAAAAGCATGCGAAAACAAAAGTCACCCAAAAATACCTTAGAGGATGTGCGAGGTGTGAAGAAACTATTCGGTCGCAGTCCACGAAATGACCTTCGTAATATATCTGGTGTAAAGGAGGCATTGCAAATTAATTCACCAAGAAATGACTTATCTGACATGAGAGGAGTACGTCGTATGTTTAGGCTCCAGAATGATCAGTTTAGAAGTAACGTCAGCGGTGTGAAGGAGCTGTTCTCCGAAACTACTTCTTTGGATACAACATTCGACCTATTGATGGGGAAAACTCCAGTACGCACTTATGGTAGAGCTGCCAGTCTTAAGAAAAGCACAGTCAAGCCTAAAACGCGTAAAACTAAATCCTACCTTGACCCTCTGGATTCATCCAACATCGATGTCAAACAATGGAGCAAACAACGGAGACTAGTAAAAGTGTACAGTGAACACTCGTTGCCCATTAAAAAGCGGTCGTTGGTTAATAAGAGTAATAATGAAAGTCGATCCAATTTACCAATCAAGAAAAGGGCAGTGCATTCAACACCTATGAAGAACAACATCACTCTGAACGTATCGGGACTTTGCGATGGACGAGTATCGCCTATTGCCTCGACGTCGAAAACTAGAGCCATTGTCCACACAAGGTAAGTCAGTTGTATGATTAATATTATTCGTCTGTTATTGTTCGTATTATATAATATATTATCAAACAAACTGGCTCGTGTGAACTTTGTGCGAAAGGTGGCGCCATATATATATTTAATAATTATTAAACGCCAATGTAGTAACAAAATAAAGTAAAGAAAAAACAATTATCCAAGTGTGTTTAATATGCTTAAAATATAAAAAGCTTTTAAAAGCATTGCCTAGACCTAGTCTAGGTTCTGTTTGTATCTTTTTTAGCTACACAATTCATTTCTACATGGTTTCGTTTTCTCTACCATTTAAGTAGCGCACGCAAAAGAGGACTTATTACTTAATAATGACCTGACCATTGTTTTATAATAACCATATATAAGTAATGTATATTATTAACTATACCTATTTTAACTATAATGTACCTAATGATAAAATAGGTCCTAGTATTTGTGAAGTTTATTGTCATATCATTTTTTGCGATTAAATTACTGTCACGATGTATATTTTACAGGGCGTCAAAGCTACACAACTCCACCTTAAATAATGAAACAGGAACAAATCAAAAGCAACAGAATTCCACGTATGAAGTTAATGAGACATTGCCAGTAAGTAATCATACGTCAAAAGAAACACGAAGCTTATTAAAATCATTGCGATTTATGGATTCAATTGCAGACACCTACCCTGTAAACACTGAATCGACAAACATTTTAGAAAAATCTATGCCACAAGATGACAGTCAGACTCGAGCAAAATCTCGAAGGGTCCAAGAAAAAAGTTTAAAACAAAAAGATTTGCAAGAAACACAAGTAGTACAAGATAGTAGTTTGCACACTAAAAAAGTTAATTCTCACAGTGAGACAGTGGAAAGTGTGCGTTCAACCCGATCAAGTCGGAAAAAAACTGGCGACGAAAGTCATAATTCTCACAGTGAGACAGTGGAAAGTGTGCGTTCAACCCGATCAAGTCGGAAAAAAACTGGCGACGAAAGTCAGACAACAAATACTACACTTAATAAAACTTCATCCAAACGTCATCCAATCCAAGTGAGTACAAAACCCCCCACTGCAAAAGCTATACAAACTCAAGTCAAACCAAGAAAAACGAAATTAAAAGATAATAAAAATGCTACACAAAATAATTCTCCTTCTGACGATCATACAAATATTGACAACATTAGGGGTACTCGAAGTCAATCAAAGGCAGTGCAGGAATCGGCTTCCGTTCAAGTCAATACTACTAGTAAAGACAAAAAACGTAGTCCAGCAAATACATACCCCATAAAACGGCGTATCTCGGTAGGCAAAAAGGCAGTGAACTCTAAACCTGTAGCCAATCGTAAAAAGGCCAAAGACGACTCAAAAGAGGTCAAAGATAAAGAACCTTTAAAAACTGTCCGTTCAACGCAAAAACGCGCTGCACCACCTAAAAAATCTAACCAAACAGAAGTGGCGGAAGCAATCTCGCCAAATCCGACAGGCCGGAAAACTCGTTCAGTAAAAGCTATTGGAGCATCAAATGCATCAAAACATAGAGTATCCCTTGTGATTCCTTTAAAAACACCCGCTGTTCCTGTCTCCGTGAGAAAAACTCGAAGGAGAGTCCAAGAAGCGCAAGCGCAAGACCTTGTGGAAAAACCAAAAAGCAATAATCTCGTTCCGAAACATGTTTCTCCTAAAGCCGGAGTAGTAAGAAAAGGTGTTGCATCTATGGCCCAAAGCAAAACAGTTAAGGCTCAGCCGGCAGATGTAAAGAATAATGTCAAAGCAAAAGGCAAAGAAACTACGAGCAAAGCTAAGCAAGCAAAAATTCAATTAGAAAAACAAGAGGCTAATCTTGACGCTGAGAAACCAAAACGTGGACGTAAAACACCAGTACCTGAGTCAAATATTAATTCTACGGCGAAACGAAACAAGAATAATCCTGTTGAAGATGTGTCGAAAGTCAAGGTCAACCAAGGGAAAGAAAAAAGCCAACTTGAAGTTAAAGAGAAAGTCGAAACCGAAAGAAAGAAGACACGTAGTCAGAAGGCTGAAATACCTCAGCCTAGTGGAGAAGGTCCAAGTGGGACAGCGTTAGCTCAAAGAACAAGGGGAAAAAAGGTAAGCCATAATATTTTAAAAGAATTATTACAATATCTATTAATAAAATAAAATGTATCATAAAGCTTCGAATAGGTCATATAAAAAGATTTTCTATTTTTTTATAAAGTGTATCTGTCATAAAAACCTTTATTTCTATTTTCAGGAGATCCCAGCGAAAACCCCCACCGCGCCAGCAAACCGCAAAAGAAAATCAGACGACGTGACAACCCTTGATCAAGGTCAGTCAGGTAATTTTGTTAACTTTTCACTTAAAGATCTCAGAGAATTGATATTGCTTTCGAGAAAAATTATCTAAGGTCTATAGATTTCCTATATAGATTTTTACTAAAGGCTATGTTAGTTATAAATGTCTTATATTCGTTATAGGAACAAGCGTCGGTGGAAAGAGACAGAAGGCTGCGAATGTACCTTCGCCCGCGCCCGCTCGTGTTACTCGTGCCAAAGCCGCAGAAGGTAAATATAGCATATGACAAGGTAAATTTATAATATGCATAAAACAAAATGGTTAAAAAAAGACTACTTGGCAAGTGCCTAAATTAAAATATAATAATTTGGGTCAATATTCTCAACGTCCAAAATGTTTATAAAATTGATATTAACTTATTTTTAAACATAATGTAAGTGGTAGGAATATAGTAATTTTATCCGGGTCACGAATCGTCTACTAAAAAAAACGTTAAGTTAAATCGCGTTTCGGTTTTAATCTGTGGATTTCCGAACTTCCAAAGCAGAAATAAGTGTACAACGTATTTCACTTAGATGCTCTATGGCTGTGGTTATTATATAGACATTTAGTAAGCCTTGTTTATTCTTAAGTCTTGTTATTTATTGTATGTTGTCAGTACTGGTACTTGTGTTTATTTATATTTTTTTTTGCAGCGGTTAAAAGCACACGCGGCCGTAAAAGATAACATGCAGGAAGTATTGAATCAGTACAAAACATATTTAAGTCATATCTAATTTTGTCTAAGTTATTTTCTAGTTACATATAGCTTGAGTTGTTGATAGTTTATTTCGACTAATTTGTAATTGTTTAAAGAAACCAATTATAAATCCTTTTTTTCATATTATTATCAATTGAGTACTTGCATGTCAATTTATAATTTAAGAAATGTTTTCAAACAATATCTTTTAAATTTGAAATTCGAATACACTAAAGTACTGTATTTAGATTTATGTTCTAATCGTGTCACTTAATTTTTTGTCTTTAAATTGTAATTATGTTTCAGAAATTTCTTTCCTTTTTCAAAACTAATTTTTAAGTCCTATAATAGTAATTACTTTTTTCAGTTTCATATCAAGTTGCCTTTATGAATTATTCTTCATTATTCTATTCTTCAACATTATGTGAGAAATAAAAAGACATTTTATTATGTAGTATCTAGGAATGTATTTGAAAGAAATAATCATTCGATCATGATTAAGTACAGTCAGAGTCGTTACTAACCGAACGCATCCGAGAATTCTCGTCCTGATTGCTGACTGTACTGTGCAGTACAATAAATAGGAACTTAAGAAATTATATTTGTATAACTACCGTGGTACGAGGCATATTTTTAAGTTTTTTTTAATAATAGTGTAGAGTAGAGTATTTTAGGGTCCTTTCTCTAATAAAATTATTGTGAAGCACTTACTAAGAATACTGTCTGAATTTGGCATGGTGCCAAGAAGGTATCGAAGAAGATATGGCAATTAATTTAACATCAAAAACAGCTCCCAAGTCCGCTATTCAGACGCTGAAGTTATATTTTCCACTTCTTCAAGCGTCATTGCTTCTTCTCTTGCGAATTGCTGTAAACGTCATTTGTTAACAGTACTTACTACTTATTCAATTTTGATTACAGATAAGTTTCCCTTATAGCATGTCACTTCGTTTTCAAATTGAAAGTGCCATCTAAAGTTCGTTGACAAGCCAAGCTCAATATTTGTCTATAGTCTCTGTTTGTGAATTAACAGACTTGGGGACCTATTGGGATTATTAAAAAGTCCCCCTTTTCCAAGTAGTATTTTTGTCAATTGGGATTTATTTTATTTTTAATGGATAATTTTAACGCAGACCTGAATGACGCCGTTAATACTACGAGTGCTAAGTTTCTTTTTCGGTATATTGTGTAATGTTGTTAGCTGGTCTTTTTATAAATAAATTAGTTAATGAAAATACTCTGTTTTTTTTATTATCAAACGATGACTTTGATCCATTGGGGTTGTTTTCAGCTGGCCACGTGAAACGTAAAGTATTTTTAAACATTTTTGAATGGGTACAGAGAAAACAGCATCTTTATAATAAATATTTAATACACGAATAACGTTAATATATTAAAGGACTGCGGTAACGTATTATACAATCCTTTCAACCTATGTAATAAAGTAAAAATAAAGACAGTTTTGTATGAAACGAGAGAGATTATTATAACAATTTCGTATTTTAAATACATAAATTAAATTTGATCGCAAATTATTTACAGTGCAAATATCTGTTTTTATTTGTTTTCGGTGTTTCGAGCTGATCCGACGTCGTTGAGAATCGTCGATTATGCGAAGACATTTTGTCAAGTAACCACGTTTGATGACGTCATCAAACATCAAGGTTAATTTATAATTACGTCAGCTGAATAGTTCGAAAACCCAAGATGCTTTGCGAAATGGCGACGGCCTTATACAATTTTTGTTCTAATTGTATTATATTTTATTCTGTCGCACAGGCCCGGCCAGTCTAAATATATTAGACAGTAGGTCGGCTAGCGCAGTGAAGAGTGCTTGATTAGTCGCGGCAGGAAGAGCGACTGTCAGTGTGCGTAGTTCTGCGCCGCCACCTCCGCTCCCCTCCAGCATAAATCCCTTTACGCACTTGAGGACTAGTTCCGCGCGTCGTACGCACCATGACATCGTCATTTCCTGCACAAATTTCATCAACTTTTAATAGCGAAACTCAAGTGTGATTTTTTATATCGCGTTTGAAAGTAATATTAAGCCTTTTGGAAATGCATATGGTGGGCATAAAGTAGAATGCTACGGAAAAATAGTTACAGTTTACACAAATCTCACCACTATTACTTATACCCTCGACATTTTACATGGATAAACATAATATTATGTGAGTAGATAGTTATATAAATTAAAAAACGATTTTAAATTGAGCTACAATTTTTTTTAATAATGCCATCATGTGAAACATGAATATTATCAAAAAAATATATGTAGTTTGTACGCAAACACCTACAATAAAATAATTGCTTATCATTTGTCAGTACTTACTTCACTAAGATCGTGTCTCAAAAGCAGCGGTAGAGCTATAGAAGTGACGTCATTGCAAGAAGCTGACTTGAGAATGTTGCGCAGTGCCAGAATTGCAGGGTGGCGAGACGTGATGTCCCCTAGAAGGATGAAACATACATTAAGACACATAATAAATAATTCATATGGCATATGTTATTTTGCCATATTAAGTATTTCAACGAAATTTGATTTATACCATAAACTCTAGTGAATGGATCTTAATGGATGAACATAATATATTGTTTGTATTTGTATGTTTCACATGTTTGTAGACTATTTTAGAAAGAAGCATTCTTCAATACATATTTTTTGTGTATCTTGACCCGTTTTCGCGGCGCACGCAACCAACACGAAACCCTCAAAGAAGGATAATTTTCCCCATTTGTATAATATAATTATTTATAAATATATTGCAACTGACCGGCTTTCATTTGTTCATCATCGATAACCAGGTGGTAGACTAGGTGGGCATCTGCCAAATTGCTGTGCCGGCTCAAGTATACGTCACCGGGTTGTAAGGCGCGTTTGGTCCGAGTATTTCTTGATCTACCTTCGCCTTCTTGAATGCGTTCTAGATTACGTTTTTCAGCCTGGAATATGTACAATTTATATCAAATCACAATAATTCTTTAGGCTATTTATCTATATATATATATATATATTTAAAAAATTCAAGACCTCCTTTCAGCTATTTGTTTTTCTGGCTATAGGCAAGAAAGAGGTACATTGACTATGTACCAATGATATTCTTTGTTATTCCTTACACCTACCCAGCTAAATAAATTATTTTCTATTTCTTTTCTCCTGTACTTCAGCTTGCCTGGAAGAGATCGTTACTTAGCGAGAAGGCCGCCTTTTATTTACTTATTACTTATTTTTCCTCATTAATATGTATTTTCTGTGGTGTGTTTTATAAATAAAATAATAAAGCAATAATAAATAAATAAAGATAATCCACTCACTGGTTCCTTTACTTTCTCCGTGATGTCACGTAGCTGTATTTCCACGTCATCAAAGTGATGCTCAGTGGCTTGACGCGCAAGACCAACCAATGGAGATCGTAAGGGCTCATGTTCAGCTAATAACACCACTGCGCTCAGATCATTTGAATAGAGCCCCAAGGCAGGTTGCGCTCGGTTCCAAGTAGCACTATAGAAAAAAATAGGATGTCAAACAAGATCCAAGAGATCTGATTCAAAAACGTTTTAATAATAGATTTTGATATTGGTCTAAGTGATGTGTATCAAAAATATTCACTTGACACTAAATGCTCTGATTAATTTTGAAGGAAGGCCTCAATATCCTGACCTGTCTCCTCTATTAACAGAACATAAATCCAATATATCAACTGCTACAAGCCGGATATTATGTGTCTGTTTGAGCTGAGATCCCAGGTGTATGGTAAAGCTTTCTTCAAGACGTGGTGGTGCTGGCTGCACTGGACCAGGTAATTCCGGAGGGAAAGTGCAAAGAGGGGAGTTACTGAAAAAAACAGAAGACTTATAATAAATAATTATATATTTGATTTATAAATATATAATCCATTAAGACAAGGCAAACCTATTAGATATTTAACTTTATACCTGGGAGTCACATTTTCATTCAACTGATAATCATCTATAGCAGCCATTAACCAAGCCCTATGAGCGGCCCGTTGAGCATGCCTTAGAGCATCCAGCTGAGACTCCCAACGTCCAGATGCCACACTTTGCTCTTCAAAATGTTTTGCAGCAAGAGCATTGATTTCCTCTTCAGTTGTGGATGTGTTCAGGAGTCTTATCTTTTCTTCCATTTCTTGTGTTTGTCTGGAGATTTTTAAAAAAAGATAAATTACAATAATTCTTATATAATCCCATTTTTAATCACCTTAGTCTACCTGTTTTTAATTCTCTTCATTTAGATTAGAAAATGAAAAACATTTGCCCACCTTTCAGTAAGTTTTCTTATATCTTCATCTCTATTTTGAATCATATTCATAACTGTCTTTGCATATGAGCTTTCAACTTGCAATATTGTTTCTAATGCTGGAGAATGCACTAACTTATGATATGCTGTAGCAAAAACTTCTTCATCCGACGAACCTTTTTGTTCAGCAAACTCTAGAACATTCTCTTTGAAGTTTTTCTCCCAACCTTTTATAATACCTTCTACATTTAATGCACCATTTTTCAACTGGTCTATTAATTTTGCATCTCTTTTATTGTGAAAGTTTTTTGTTTCTTCTGATATAAATTCTGCTAATTTTTCATTCAAATCTAGAATGAACCAAGATGTAATGTTAAATTAAACATCCTTTCGTTTTAAGTCAAAAACTTAAGTTGTTCTGATTGAGATATCTTTAATAACAATTCAATGACTTCACCCTATAATATTAATAATAATTATCTTTATCCAGGTTTAAACCCTCATCATTCTTACACTAAAAAGATTTAAACTATTAAAATAAGTAGGAATTTATATATTGAGCTATTTGCAGTTGTCGTCAGCTTAGTCACTACAGCTTACTAATTTTAAATAAAGATAAATTGAAGTAATCATATTTTCTTCAAACTTCATTAAGAGTATTATGTACCTAGAAGGAATTTCAAGTCTTCTTACCATCTTCTAAATACACTGGGATATGAAACATCTTCAGCACTCGTTGTACAAGCTCCCTCGAAGAACCTTCGTAAGGAATATCAACCGGTACTTCTAAATTAAACAAAATCTCTTCGTTCGTGCAAGTGGGAAAGGAGTATTTAAAAGTTTTCGTAACATTTTGTACGGCTTCTGCAGCCATAATTAGACTATTTATTAAATAATTAGATCTAATATGGTAAGATTCTTTCATTCACTTGTCTTAAATAATGAGATCCCAAGGTGTTAATAACTTAAGGAATTAATTAATTCTATTAGAAATTGGAATGGTAATCAAAAACAAAAATAACAGAATGGGGGTTTATATACACTTCAAAAGTTGAAAGAAATCACCTGATTGACATTTTGTCTTATATTTTGATGTTGCAATATGAAGCTTTGAAGGATCTATTTTTTTTGTAATATTTAATGGCCTGGTAACGAGACCTTTAAGTCTTATGGAGTATTAAATGATTTCTGATATAGAAGTACGAATATTATGAAAACATATTTTTTATCTGTATCAGACATAAGTAAGTACTTAATACAATTATTTAAATCTACCTACCGCTAAAAGGTTACAAAAGATTGAACTTAATTTTGCAATCCTTTCATCATCATCATAAGAAATCATAAGAATATTTTTGAGGTTTAGTACTGTTTCAGTATTAAACCTATCTGCGTATAGTGTTTTTGTGTGTCTGTAACTTCCGTCCGTAACTTTGTCTCCGCTACCATTTCCACAAATTTTGCGTTGCGATGCATTAAAGGTTGGGTTCGAATCTGCAGATAAAATAAATTATGTTCGCTCATGGCAAAGAAGCGACTATTCGTATCCAGAGAAATGTATTCACTGATTCCATTTGTTATGTTCTAAACAGAAATGGTTTTATTTATGTAATGGTTATGTCTTGGTGTGGGTGTGTAATGATAAAGACAGGATCTACGAAACTTGGCAGTGCCTTAATTTAGTCAGACTTGATACTTTATTTGAAACAAAACAAATGAATACATAGTATTCCTCGCTTCCCTCTTCTCCCGTCGTTTGCCACGACAAACACCCGAGCTAGGGACAGTTGTACACGATATTGGTATAGTAGAACTATATTTTCATTATATATAAATTATAAAATGGAAACAATATTACATAGAGATATAAATAAAAAATAATTCGGTTCGCAAGGGCGTTTAATCCGCGAACCCTCGGTCGGGTGGTAACCTCTTCTTAGTGGAATTAATTTACGCGGCTTCACCGCCCTCCTCCTCTTCTGCGCTGGCAGTCAGCATGGTGATGAGCTTCTGGGTGTCAATGTAGCCTTTGTCGTCGATTTCCATCTGGTCATACGCTTCATCGACTTCGTCAGCGGAGAATTTGTCTCCCCAGGTCATGAGTGCGTGTCTGAGGTTCTCTGAGTCGATTTTGCCGTCCTTGTCGAAGGTTTTGAAGGCGTTGATGACTACGTCGTCGTCGTCAGAGCCACCGGACATGCGGTTGGCGAAGAGGGTGAGCAGCTGAGTGAAGTTGATGGGGCCAGGGGCCTCGCCGACCATCTCCTCGAGTTCCTTCTCGGAGGCGAGCCTGCCGAGGGAGTCGAAGGTGGCGCGGAGGTCGTTCTTACCGATGATACCGTCCTTGTCGTGGTCCATTAGCTGGAAGGCCTGTAGACAATAAGTCAATATAAGTGAGGCCGCTAATACGAGTATATTAAGTGACGTTGGCGTTTGGTAAGATCTTTACTAAAACCGTTATTTTTAACTACATCTAAAATTAACGGTTCTGTATATTGAGAAAGCAATCGTTGCAAACATGTTTAGAAAACATCAGCGCACGAGTCAAACATGATAATATTGTGGTCGTCATTGTGACGTTAAGATAGAATTGTTCTGAGAACATCTTTGTTGATATTCGACACTTCAAGATAGACCATTCAATGTCTTTTTAAACTATTATACTTAATAATATACTGTATATTATAAAAAAGTTGATGGCGTGCTAGGATGTGTATGATATTTTATCTTTCATTAAAGTCCACTAGCTGCGTTAGCGACTTCTTCCGCGTTGAATTTTGGGCCTCAAATTTGTTTTTGCAATTTCATGAATTTAAGCTGCTACCCATGACGTCTTCCACGTCCCATTGTTCTCGAAACAAACTTACTTGATAAGATTTAAGTAAACAATGAGTAGCTACCTCTTTGAACTCAGCGACCTGCTTCTGTGAGAACATAGAGAAGACATTGGATCCAGTGCGCTTGGCCTTACGGCTGCCACGAGAGGACTGTCTCTCAGCGGGGGCCGCAGCTGGGGCCTCATCAGCGGGCGCTTCTTCTTTCGCCTTCTTCTTCTTGATCTTCTTTTCCTTATCCGCCTGCATTTGAGATATTTTTACATTATAAATATAAGAAGAGACAGTGATATCTTATAATTTTAAAATCTTGTTAAGTAACAATAAGAAAATCTATAACTTGAATAATTGAGCCTATCTATTAAGCAAATATTAAACGTATCGAGTAAATGCTGAGTTCAAATTAGAGATTTAATCTAATATTAGACGTTATTTACTTGAGTTAAAAAATCTACATTTGTTTAAACAACGAATCATTATAAACGAGTATGATCATTTCTTATATTATAAAATTACAAAATCAGGGCGTATTGCTTTTACTTAAACGTAGACAAATGTAGATTTTATTCTAAGTTTTAAAAGCGATACATATTTTTTATTATAAAATATTTTAATACCGATTTTCCTTATTTCAAAATATCTTGTCACTTACAGTAAAGATAATATTTAAAAAGTTAATTTGTATTTGAATGAATTATCGAGTTGGAAGTTATATTATTAGTTCGACTGCTTGTTCCAATTTAGGCGTCGCAGGCGCCTTTATATTTAGCGCAACGGTATCCGTTTACGCGCCCAAATCATTACGTTACGTAAAGGAACGAAAATAGAAAAGTATCTGAGTGTTGTTTCAAAATCATTGGAGTTTTTGTCCGTAGAACAAATTAATAAATTGTTCAATACTATAGATTATTGTCACTTTGTCTGCATTATTTGAGTTAATAAAATTTATTTGGGTGTCGTCTCAGCGTTTTTATTTCTGTTTAAATATACCGACTTGTTTTAATTTTTTATCAATCTTTATTATATAACGATCTAATCTTCTTTGGTTGTATTATTAAATTACTATCACTCATCTACTTTACAAACCGCTTGATCTTCAATTGCTTTTCCTCAATGAAAATTTTAATCGTCTACATTATTTATTACGCGGATCACATCACTTCCACCGTCATGTATCACATCACAATCCACTGCACTGGACTTACCATTGTGTAGTTTGTTGATCGACGGAAGAGAGACTGTACCGTTCGGCAGTCCCACCCTGACTCCGAGTTATCGTTCCCGGTTCATCTAGCAAGAGTTTCCCCTTCCCCGCTCGTCTCCGTCCCCCCGGGACACCGTTCCTCCCGGCTGCCACTCCATTCCATATATAGTTCGCCAAATCCGAGGTATTGGGGTATCAGAATGGATTCGTTCGCTGGGCTGGGTGGCCGCCGCTGTTGTTACGAAAATAATCCACCTTAGGTTATTGTCAATTGTATTGTAACGCTCGGTGGGTTGTTTAGTTTAACTTCTTCGCTGTTGCTAGGTTGGCTTCCGTAGATTTTATTGGCGATTAAATTAAGTTAAAATAGAACACATAGCTAATACAATTACGCAGAATAAGTAATCACAATAATGTGTTGAGTTTTTTCATGTGATCTACAACAAATAGTAAAACGATTCAGATCTGTACTAGCTCTAGTTATATACCATGCACATAATAACATGAAAAAATAATAAAACACTATCCTAGGAAACACGCTAAGTATAGTATTGCTTTAATGATCCAGGTTTTGTCAACCTTAATAACTAGAGATGTCAAATTGTCAAATATTTCGATTGTTATATAATTTAGGGTGGAAAAATTACCGGTAAACCTTACAATGTAGTTATTTATGTGCGTGGTGACTAATCTGTTATAAATATCGCCGCCCGCCCAAAGTATCAAGGCGGAAATAGCTGCTAACTACTGGCTTCGTTTGTTCTAAAAAAGCTAGGCGATAATGATACGGTGCGATGAAAGATAGTATGACAGAGCATTACTGTATCAAGGAAAAAGACTGTGCTAAACTGTGCATTAAGAATTATTTGTTTAGACAGTTTAAAATTTAAGTAAAGTCCCTTCTTACGTCAATTTTTGGGTCTAGTTCAATTTCTTTGCAATTAAATTACTTATTAACTCGTAAAAATATATATTAGAGATACTTCTAAAATCTAATGATATACATTAGTGAAACACAATATTTTACACTTAATACATGAATAGTATAGTATTTATACTAGTTAATACTTCAAGGAAACATTTGAAATAAAGTATTGGTATTGCTTATTGACAGAGTATTATAGCGGATTCGAGGTCCATTTATGCCACAATTTCGGGGTTATTATTATTATAAATATATACTGTAAGGAGCATAGTCTTCATAAAAGTATAATCTATATTGTTGAAGGATTTGTGATTTTCTACAAGTGGAAATTATTCATGGCAATAAATATCGAAAAAATCCATTCCATCGATATTTAAAACTCATAAAATTTCAAGTTTGTGTAACAATAAAAGTCGAATTTAAGTAGAAATTTGAAGGAATAGGTTGTGTATATTAAGGTATGTGTAGCGATATTAAGCTTTCTGTTATTTAGAAATAAGCTAAGCTAAGCTACTAATCTTATATTTTTTTAAATATAAGTTATAGCTAACTAACGTAGTTTAGTCATCTTGTACCAGTATGCATACCATTTCGCTTTATCTGAACCGATGATCCATGTGTCTGAATGCACATTTTTCAAATACCTTCCATCCAAACAAACATCATTATGCGTACTACGTGTACGTCAGGTGTTTTGTCTCTGTCTAAGATATATCCAAGCTACTCATTAAGTTACTGTCCAACCGGTAACACTGCCTTTCACTTAATCATTTCGAATCAGTTCTTGAAAATGTATAGAAGTGTGTATGTGATATAAAATGTGTAATACGAACATAAAATGTGCACTAAACGTAGTCATTTCATACCAAAGTTGTTATACATTTGTTTAACTTTAAGCGGTAAGTTTTAGTATTAGAAAGTTTTCGCGGTGTTTCGAGGATATAACAATGAGGTTACGAAAGATTGGATAGGCAATTTTTCGTTTATAGAACTTTTTATTAAGTGACCTTTTATATTATGACGAATATGATAATTATAGGATTTCCTTACTCGATCGTTTAATATTTCCTTTGTTTTCTTAGTAATGGAAATAAAATAATTTTCCATTTCCATTCCATTGATACAATTTGGTGTATGTATTTTGTTTTTGAAATCAATAGATATCTCAATAGTATATTAATTTTGCATTGAGATATTTCACTCACATTACCCTCCGTTTATATTCGGTTACAAGATGTATGTTGTTTGGATAAAACCTATACTTTAACAAACCTTACATGTTTTTTCATATAAATCTGTATAGTCTTCAAATAAAATATTTTTAAAGGGTTAAAACGTGAAATATATTCGTTGTCATTTTTTTATTTATTTTAACCAAAGTATTAATAATATTTTACTCATTTAAAGGACTAAACGCCTTTGTGCTAAGGGCATATATTTCTCAACATGGACTTCACGGGGAAATTGAGTTTTCACCCAAAAATGACACCTTGATAAGCATAAGGACAAACTTGAAACCCACTCTGCAGTACCCAGATGGCGTATGGAGATGGACCATTCACGAGTTCCCAGTCGATTATAGGGATATAAGTGGCGATAGGTGTTCAGAAGAGAAATTAGGAAAAGAACTTATCGATTTGACGGATGAATTAGGATACCTCGTTATCCCAGGCAAAGATCATGCGGAGTTCGAAAGCAAAAATTCCCTTACTGGCCCTAATGGTTTATGGGGAAAGAGTATTGTACTGGAAACCGCTGAGCGTGATCGGATAATTTGTGCATCCATTTTCTCAACTGAAAATCAGTACGAGACCCAACATGCATATGCAAGATTTACAGCTCCGGTGGCTGGTACGCTACACTTCGGTTGGTTATCATCCAAAGAATATGATGAATCTGATTCATATATCTTAGCAGATTTGTATCATACAAAAGCTGTACCTCAGAAAGATTTTACGTCTCACAAATGGAAATTGTTCGTTACCGATATATTCGACGCTGATAGAGGAAATCATGAGGATAATTGTAACGTTTTGCAAGTTGTTTTTGATCCAGAGAATAGCGGAGATGGGATGACTGTTGGTGATCTAGATAGCCGCTTAGGTTTAATAAATGTGGCTTCCGATCCCAACGTACAAAAAACTAGGAAAGTCTATAAGGACGATGTTCTGAATATCCTGAGGAGTGACATGGAAGTGACGAAAAGAAGTTTGTATGTTGTCATATATGATAATAAACACACTGATAGTTTTTTGGCGTGCGCTAAACTAAGGACAATACCTCCAAAAAGCACTAAGTATGTACTTAATTATATCTACTAATGATATCTTTAAACCTCATTATTTCAATTGATATTAAACATTACTAAAACTAAGTATAAGAATTACCTAATCTCTGTTACTACGGGAATATTGTATTTTGATTACTTTTTAGATCTTTAATAAATATGGATGGAATACGAGGTACTGTGGAATTCACTCAACGAAGCCCTTTCGATCCTACATGGGCGAGCTTCCAACTTGGGGCGTCTGACATGGACTATGAGTCTAACCTTCGTTTTGTCAGCTCCATTACCCAGTACAGCATAAGAGAACTGCCTCCAAAACTTTACGAGGCTAAAGACTGGGAAACGATGTGTAACACGACAGGTGGAATGTACAATCCAAATAATGTTGATTTGAAGAATACTCCTCCTGCAGGTAACCATGCTTTTTATTTTTTTACTAAGTCTACTTAAGGAAGTTTAATTAGGCTCGGTATTTAAAATATTCCAGATGACATCCTATATATATCCGAGACTGTTAAGGTTATTTAGTTAGTTTACATATCTCAATACAAAACAATGTCGTATGAACATTCAAATGGCAGAGTACATTAGGCTGGAACATCTGAATGTGTGACGTATTTTGGCAACAGACCAATAGATACTGACCGATTTTCGATATAATTATAGACGTTGAAATAGCTTTGTAAAGCCGTAGCAATCCAATGAAACTATTCGTGGCATAGTTTAGGGTACAAAAGCTATATAATAAAAGATAATTGAAATTATGGAGTTTAAAAACGAATTAAAAAGGAAATATAAAATAGTATTTATAATATATATAAAAAATTATCATGAAATCAATATTCTTCTTCATATTTACTATACGGTTTGAGAAGTTTATTTTACGCAAGAAATAAATGTCACTTAACTGTAATTATAATATTTTACGGTATAATATGCAGTACATAAATCAATAATTATAATCCTCCTCTACTTTTACTTTAAAACGTTATAGTAAAAATAATATTTCGTAGGTTATACAAATGTGTTGAACATAGTGTTTTAGTTGTAAATAATATCGATTATTGTTATTTAAGGTATGAGTACACAAGACCATTATGCTATTGGAGACCTCTTAGGTAAATACAAAGACAGGACTGAGTATTTAAATCACAAGTACCTTCTACCAGGTCTAGCTAATGAGTTAAGTGGGTCGTACTGGGATGTGTTTTTGCCCCTGAGTGGAAAATATAGTGTAATGCACAGATCCGTTGTAGTTACAAGGTAAGTAAAGGTAGTAAGCTTTGTCAATACGTATATAGACGTATATTTTTTTGATTCATGACAATTTCAGACGTCCACCAAAACATGACCTTTGTGCTACTATTCACTCCTACGAGTATGGAACAGATTACCAGACCCAAATGAGTTCAGCTGAAGTGGTCTATCGCTATCCCATTGTTAGTAGAGTGATATTCAGGCAGCCACTTGAAAGACCTTGGGAAGACACCACTGTTATCATCGAGAGTATGGTAAAGTCTCTATTTCTTTTTCTTTCGCTCAAGATTAATGGCTCGCGTATACAGAAGTTATAAGTATTCCCCCATAGGTCTCTCTATAACCGCGGCTCTTGCAAAGCACCGAAAACGTGGGCCATAGTTAAAATAAATTAAATATAAGTTTAAAATTAAATTAAGTTTTAAAAATATATTTCGTATTTAAAACCGATAAATGTGTTCTTTAATATATTTAAATACTCGCGTCAACTACAGATTCTTCTTCAACTGCTCATATTTTTTCAGATTCACTCAGATGGTTCAAATGTTAATAACACTCACGAACACCGCTGGGCCATCCATGAACATCCTCCTGGAATTGACTATTACAACTGGACAGCTAGATGTCTCAGCGCAGGGAAGATGTATGATCCCCACGGAGTAGATACAGATACTAGACATCCGGAGCAATATTGCAGAACTGGCTTGGAAGGACTATGTCGAGTTGGAGACTTTACTACCAGGTACTTAAGAAATAAATTATATTTTTCTTCCCACGTTAAACTTGCTTTTGGTGCGTCTGATGGCGTTGAATCAATTCATGGCAAGTAGAAATTTCAATGTTTGCTAAAATAAACTGGCATCTCATTTTCTTTTTTGTCATTTTATTTTAGGCATGGAATGCTTTCTGTGGCTGGAAGGAAGCGAGATAGTGAAAGGCTCACAAGAAAATTATTTACGGATACTGTGATTGGGTTGGCTGGGAAGTACTCCATCATGAGGAAGTCACTGGTGATTTACGATGATCACGGACCTGTGGCCAGAGGAGAGAGAATGGCGTGTTCTATGTAGGTAGTTCTAAATTTTAAAGAAAATCTTTGTTAGCACAATATCGGTTCTAAACTTATGAAACTGTTCTGGCCCAAATATGAACTTTCAGAGTGAATGGTCTATACCGTCGTAAAGCTGTTGTCCGTGACTGGTTTGGTAATGGTGACGCTATCAGCCTCACAGGGAAGTTTGAAATGACGCAGCAGTCAGAGTATGATGTCACGAACGTCCACATTATTTTGGAAAACTTGGCTGATGACGTACATAATTATAAGATACATCTTGTAAGTATTCAGTGTCTTCTTTTAACTTGTTTATGATTGTTTCTGAATGTTAAAGTTCAGGGAATGTTAATATTCAGAATGATTATTTCAGACTCCCATTGAGAAAGAACTGGAGTTTCCGTGTGAGAAGACGACAATTTACGATACATACAATCCGTTTAATATCAGCAAGTATCACGAACCACCTCCTACAAAAGGTATATTATTAAAACATGCTAAATACGACCTCTACGATAAAAATATCAATAGCCGAAATTGATTTGAACGATTTTTTTTAATGCAGTTCTTATTTTATTTATAGGGACCGCAGATCAGTATCAATTGGGAGATCTTGGTAGTAAATATGGTCTCTTGGATGACGTTAAGAAATTTACGACCGTATACAATGAAACACAACTCAGTCTATATGGACAGTATAGCATATTGGGTCGATCGGTTGCTATTCATAGAGATGTAAGTGAATGTATCTTATGTTATATCAGCTGTGGTTTAAACGAGAAGCACATATCAAATAAAACTATTCTAAACTGCAAAAAACTATTGAAGGAATCCTAACTACATTTAGGTTCTACGTCCTACGTGATCATGCCTGAAGACCATGTATCCCACATGTTCCACATAGTTAAACTTATGTTTAATAAGTTATTAGTAAATTAAACGTTTCAATTCGTTTTATTTTTTGATTATGGCGTATAAATCTCTAGTCTCTATAAAAAAAGTTAAGATCATTAATTACTTACAGTTAATTTATTACTATATGAACTATTAATACAAGAAAGACGTAGTTTTATATATGAACAAGATACAGGACATGATTTAATTTTTCAATAAATATATTAATGTGCGAAGTTACACCTTTATTTATGACTTAGCAATGGAAGATACAGCGCCATTTTTTAGAGGTTTAAAGAATACAATTCTTTTTAAAAAACGAAAATAATTGGCTCGGTAGCTCAATTGGTAGAGCAACAGCACGGAACGCTGACGATGCCGGTTCAAGTCTTGCCCGAGTCGAAATTTTTTTCACTTTATTTTCGATTTTTAAATTGTATATTGCCTTCATGTGCAATAACACGTAAAAAATAATAAAATTCGTTCAGCAACGTGACCGTCGTTGGGCCTGCTCAACTATAGAACGAGGTTACAGTCCTTCAGAAGCTCGTGAGATCCGGGCAATTGCATCCTTCCACCACCCGGGTGGTTTCGCTCATGGTTATATCCGGATGACTCAGTTAATTCACAACGATGGGAGTACCAGTGATACCATTATTGAGGTGAAATTGCGACACCCTGGACAATATGATAGGAATCTGGTGAGCATGTCATTTAGTCTAAAACTGATTTTAGTCAGCGTGATAGTTATATTCATACGTAAGTAACTATATATAGTGTCATATTGCAGTATTTAATTTTTATATTTATACTAATATTACAAAACTGAAAAGTTTCTTTGAATGCTCTAGGCTCGGGAACTATTGAGTCGGATTTTTAAATGTATTTTTGTGTTAGTTAGAGGATTTATCGAGGAAGGCTTAGGTTACAAAAACCAACCAAACCAGCGAAGAAACAGTGGGATATGTTTCCGTTCCGTGGGTTGCGAAACAAATATTCCTCTTTAAACAGTACAAATATATAATCGCAACAGTACATGTCTTTAAAGATTAACTTTCAAGAACGATAGGACGCGAACGACGTCGTGGGTATCAACAAAAATTCTTAAATGCGAGAAGGAGGTTTTGAAAAAGAGATTTTGAAGCCCAAAATGACAATTCTACGCGGACGAAGTCGCAGCCACAAATATCCACATTAAGAAAGATTTAGACACAATATTCTGTTTGCAGACCCACCACCACCGTTGGGAAATTTTCGTAAATCCGGTTGGCGTAGATGCAGCTGTCAAAGTGACGAATACTCGATGCGTAGCTGGAGGTTATCGTTGGAATCCTTACTTCACACAACTGGCTGATCCACTTAACGTAAGTGTACTATTACTCATAGTAGCCGATGAAGTACACAATATTTATTATCTGCCAATGTGCTTTACATTAGACTATTTTGTACATTCAAATCTATATTAATTAAATTAGATATGCAATTTGCCATTCAATGCCTATTACTAATCTAACTTACTTTTTCTTTATCATAACAAACTGTTGAAGAAAGAACAGATATTTTTCCAGGCGGTTTCGCAGTTATACCAGTAACATTATTATTTACTTCTTTACAGCATGATCTATATGAACAAGAATGTGGAGCTGACAATCCTTTGCGGTGTGATGTTGGAGATTTGACTTCCAGACTTGGAACTATTAGTGAGTACCAGATGCAGAAAGCATAGGCGCTTTTACAAACGCGAAATGTATTAATTAACTTATTTACAATTTATTTTAACTACGGCCCGACGTTTTGGAGGCTCTGCAGCAATCGTGGTCTCGGGGGGGATTGAATATAGAGAGCGTCCTTAATGTCTAAGTTACTTTGACATTATCGATGTGTACTACTCACGTCAAATACAGACAGTACCTACATATATTGTTATTCAGGTATTGGTGGCGACCGTCAAATGTTCATGGATAGCAACTTCCCACTCGAAGGCAAAGTTTCCGCAGTCGGCCGATCTATCGTAATCATGGGTCCCGAACGAAGTAGCGAGAAGTTTGCCTGCGCAAACTTACAACCAGACAAGGATATCATTAAATACGTCAATATTATGAAACCACCACGATTCGTTCTGTAAGTATATATTGGCTAAAGCACACTAGCAATAGTTTTTATTTTGACGCATAAAGAATAAACTAAATATGTTTTACGCGAAGTATATTAGTTAACCTAATTTTATTAACGTATAACAATGATTGTTTCAAATGTTATGCGTTTTAAACCGTTAAATAATATGTACTACTTATATAGAATACCTATAGATAATATTTAAGAAAAGTTTAATTATAATGTAACGGGCCTTATTGGGCGATTTCCTCTAGGCGTTTTTTCTCATACTGTTTCAAATTTTCACTTCACTAAATTATAGTCGCTTCTTACTTTAATATAACTCCATATGCAATTTTTTTTAACAGAGGCCAGTTTTTACGAGAAATCCGGAAAGTAATGGGTGTACCAGAGTGGATGGTCGGTGTTGATTCCCGTCGTACTCGCATTTTGCACTCTGGCGCATGTATACAAGTGTTGCTGCACTTCCAGGGACCCGACGCGAACCAGCTTGAACTTGACTTTAGCAGGTAAACGCCTAAATCATCTATGATAGCAAATACAAAAAAAAATATATATATATTATTTCAAATAATTATTTTTATGTTAGGTTTCTTAATCGTACTAAGTGTTAAAATGTATTTTTTTAGATTACTTGCATCAGGCCGTTTGGATTCACCAAGTATTTTTATTCCTGGTTATGTGGATACGAAGAGAAAACGAACTGTTTCTTACAAGCAGTGTGGTGTTACCGATCCAAATGAAAAGAAAAGTAAGCAAAAAATGTCTTTATCACTATAATAAAAAGGCACATAATTGCATGTATCTATTTCACTTACTTTTAATATCATGGTGTACTAATACTACTACTATTTTTTCGCAACGTTAGTGTACTATTACATTTTTTATCGTAGAAATTTTATCCTTATAACACTCTAATAATTGTTGAAACATAACTAATTGTTATTTGGATGTGGTATTTAACGAATTACTCATTACATTGTTCCAGAAACAACATTTTTCTTCTCAAAGCCGTCCTCAGCCACACGTTCATGGAGTGATTTCAATATTTCAACCACATTCCTACTGATCTCTACTTTATTATTGTTATAAATTATTATTTTTATTAAAAAATGGTATTTTAAAATAGTAAAATTTGTTTCATTCCAGTAATAAACTACTTTATTTTAATACGAGTCATATATAAGAGATTTTAGTAGTTATTACGACGGCTACAGCTTATCTCACATAACTTAAATATTGTCTGTAGTGCATGCGAATAGTACATATTTAAATAAAACAGACTTGTTGACATTGAAAATTTGGTTTACCGTCAAAACTATTTTATTTCAAATAATAATATCTTCACACCTTCACTAAATGCAAGAAAAATTAACACAATGTTTTTATATATGGCGGGACTTAATTTAAAATAAGAATAGAATAAGTTCTCGCGTCTGTCCCTTGCCGCTATTTTTACTACGCATGCGCGGACTTCAATCGATATATCGCTACAGATTGAGCATTACTCAAAACGCAATTATGTTCGCACAAATAATTCTGTTGTTATCAGTAACTTATGCCCACGCAAATTTGGAAGGGCCTTTTCTATTCTTTGGGCCAAAAACCTTGGAGAGATTCAAAAAGCCAGCGTTGAAATTTCTTGACCAAGATGAACTGATGAAGATATACGCAGAGCCAGCGGCTATAGTGGTGTTTAATAACCAGGATTCTTCGACCCTATCTAGTGGTAATTTTCCGAGGCTCAGAAAGATGCTTGAAGGTCAAACTGTATTGATTCTCCCTCAGGACTTTTTGGATGTACATCCGGATTATATTAGCAATGAGACACAGGTATGTTTTTACTTACAGCTAAGCCTCGTTATAATATATATTATTCAGTACCTTCAACTAAAATTTAGATAAGTATGTAAAAAAGATGATTTTCTAATTCGAAATAAATTCGAAATTAATAGGTCACGTTAACTATTTAACGACACTTTACATCATAATAGTACTGTTTTGTCATAAAGCAAAGCAACCATAATACTTACTTACTAAGTAAGGTGTTTTCAGGTCCTAACATTGCAAGGGCCATGGTCAGAACGAGATGCGCAAATGACAGAAACTTTTGACAGGCTTCAAGACATTTATGGCGAGGGACGGGTTTTGGGAGTGTTAGGTAATGTTTTATTTATTTATTATAGCCTAGTACGGATTAAAATGGTTTTAATTTATTATCAATTATCTTTTAGAAAAAATTAAAACGCCTTCCAAATTTTAATAGCAATTTCTCCTTATAAATACCTAGGTAACTCGGTGTCACAATCACAACCGATTGATTATGACAGCGAATGGTCAAGAGTGCGACGCCAGGCCGAAGATGGTACCACCACCATTACTTCTACCACAGAAGACGATAAACCAGCACGTAATCTGCCAAAATATGCACTCTATAATGCAACTGGTAAATTAATAGTGATTCGTTTTAAATACGTCCAGAAACTAATTTGATTTAATAAACGTAAAAAAAAATCTTGGAAAAGGAAGAGCACGATACGCTAGTGTTTCGTTGGTTCGAGTCCTTTCTTATAGAATTTTCACAAGAATAACATTTCACTAAAACAATTTTAATGATTTAAAACGCGAAATATATGTACTGAATAAAATTTCGCGCTTTCAACCGTAACAGATTTTTAGCTTTAAATTGTAACAGATTTTATTATCTTTTTATTGGAGGAAAAATACATTTTCAGGACCTCCCGGCAAGGCCGCTTTGTTGTACTCCTCTGGTTGGCCTGAGCTCCGATGGGAGGATGGAACAACGACCATCCTTGACACTCCCGTTGGGGAACCCACCGTTAAGCCAACTCGTTTATATACGATATTGGTCGTGAGATTCGCTGATGGTGACAATACCAGAGACAAAGTAAGGTTTATACTACATTATTGGTGTGGCCTGCACGAGAGGCATTGATCAACGTGTAAATAGTTGCGGCAAGGGCTTGTATAGTACTTTTTTAAAATAATGCACGGTATTTATAACTAAGTAGTACAATCAAATATAAAGCAATCACGGCAAACAATAACGATATGTTTTGAATCGCCAACATATTTTTTTTCACTAAACAGCATTTTATGTGCAAGCCAGTTCGAAATTTAAATTAAACCTTTGAAAAGTTACCTTTTTGGTCGCCATATTGTGGAGAAGAAGATCGTTCCAATTTTAAATTACACGACAAATATGATTTGTATTACATTATGTCCGCTAAACACATCAGATATGGATTTTTATACAACTATTTCCGGCCGTTGCTCGATCAGTAGGTAAATAATTATTGTTTAAATATATATTAAGCGAGATTAAATAAGTATTTAAGTGTTGATTCTGCTTCGGTTGATGTTATATTGATTTTATCAATATTATTTGAATACGTTACTTAAGAGCCAAGAGATTTAATTGGAAATCATGATTTTTCCAGATAACGCTAGAATTCAGTTTCAAGCAATCAGGTGGATGGTGGTCCGCTGTTGGTGTTGAAGTTAAGCGAGGCTTAGCTACTACGGGGCTGTCTCTTCAGGCACCAGCACTTCCGGATACGCCTGCAGCTGTGCTGGGCAAGGGATACACTTGTTCACTGCCTTTGGTATATTCGTCTGAAGAAGCATCTCTAACGTTTCCAAATATAAAGGTAAGTTATATATTTTATTTCAATTTCAACTTTGATTAGAATTCTAATTTTATCAAATTTGATGTGTTTCAATTTTATCTTCTATTTGTTATGACGAGAACTTTGTGGTATCATGATATAAGGTTTTTATTCGGATGTACCTACGTATTATGAGGGCTTTCACTTAGTGACAAGATTTATGTCATAAATTATATTATTAAGTGATAAAAATAATCATAGTAAGTAATTACGATTACTTACTATGATTATTTAGCTCTAGTCCTTGTTATTACCAATATATCCTTATAATGTATGATGTACCATATTATAATGCTTTTATTACAAATATTAAACCGTTTCAGATGCAACCATTTATGGAAAGTACAGACAAGTTCACAGATGCCTTCAACTGCATAACATTCACTACTGTTCCTATATGGTGAGAAAAACTGTCTTTTAATATTTGTACTAAATTTTTTAGGTCACATTCATTAAATGGTAGAGAGGGGAAGTGAGTTTTCATGGTTACCTTAATTATAAGAAATTTCGATGAAATTTAATAGAAATATAACAATCACGAGTTCCAGGTTTGGAATCTCGGGAAATGAAAATTACTTTACTTTTTTGGTACTAGTCCAGAGTCATGGAAGTATGCGGTGTTGTCAACCACAGGCCTTGGCCGTTTTAAATGACTTAAGCGCACGTAGTTTCCAGGTCTAACTTGAACTACTAATCTCCATTTCTTTGTAGCTTCATTTAAGTTATAATTCTTTTGTTCTTCCTTTTTAATTACATAATTATGTTTTAGTTATAGATTTTTAGTTTAATTTAATTTGTCTTGTCTTTTGGCGAATGATGTGTTTGCCAATAATTGTTAAATGCATTTGTCACCTACTCTATGAATGTATATATTATAAATGTATGAATGTAATTTTAGTAACGCTGGCAGACCAATAATTAAATAATTGTTCGTCAACAGGTCTGGCTTGATGGTGACCTTCCTGATGCTGTTTGGTCTATCAGTGTCCATCACAATGATCTTAGACATAAAGACAATGGACCGATTCGAAAACAGTCGAAGTAAGCAGCTTACTATCACTGTTTCAGAATAAAAAAAAACTACTCAACTTTAATTATGAAAACATAGTTAACATGCATACGATAGCTACACTGTGTGACGTCATATAGATATGCTGTACCATAACCTCTATATGACGTCACTCAGTATAGCGAACTCCTTGAATGTAATAGTGACTCTGCTGTAGTTGGTGTTGCGTGCTATGCAAAGACATTTTTTGTACCAATACACCCACTCTCAATAACAACAGTTACAGTATTGAAAATGTGTCAGCAAGCTTTGAATAAAAAATCGTAGATAAGCTATATGAGGAAGACCAAATGCATGCATTAAAAGCAAGAAGAAGATTATAAATGCATATATGGGCATCTTTATTAGGTATGCATTATGTAAATTAGTAAACCTTTAATTAAAAATATAAGTAAGAAAACTTATGTAGCAACGTCATACGCATTTAAACAGTAATTGTATTAATGACTTTATATATACCTATAAATACATAAGTTTGAAATTCCACGAAATTAACTGTTTCAAATTGTAACTTATCAAATGATGCTAAATTATCATTATATATATTTAGTATTACCTGTAGTTTTAGTCAAAGTTTCAAGTTTAAAACGCGAAATTCATCAGTTGAACTGCTTTACAATTTATTTTAATAGTGGCTGGACGTTTCGGAGGTTTCTGCAACAGTCCGAAATGCCAAATCGTATGTGGTGTGAATGTATTTTTCGCGTTTTATACCGTTAAGCACTTTGTTTTATTCATATGTATAACTTGCTGAAATTACTAAAAAGCGCAAGCCAATTTATTATCTGTTTAAAATTTTCGTTACCTATGTAAAAGTCATACTGTTGTAAAAATGTTTAAAATAGGTGTTTATTAATGTTAAACAAATAAATACATATCAAAAAACGTATTTTATTTTTATATAAATATTACGTAAATTACGAAGTATAGTGTAATATTTTCCCGCCATTGTGTTGAGTTATATAATACATAATAATTTGTGTTCATATTATGCAGTGAAAAGTTTACGTGCGAGCACTTAGAACGTCAAATAACTCTCATAGCATTGTATGGTAGAAAAACGTACGGTGTGCTTCTGTTGTCTACACTTGTGTTATATAAACACTTATTTATACGCGAAAATATATTTAGTATTGAATTAAAAATCAAACACTGCGCCTACTCAAACAATACGGTATAGGTAGCTATAATAAATAAAATAGATGAGTATATTCTAATAGCGAAGTTTGTTTAGTGCTGAACACGAAAATGTTTCTTCTTACCCAGAGATTCAAACCCAGTACCTCTCGGGCTTATTGTAATACGAAACAACGGAGGCCTTAAGATATATAATTGCCTAACTTAAAGAATCATAAAATTAAATAAACATTACATGCAGGTCAATTTAATTAAAACTATCATATTATCTTATTCTTCCATGTTAATTACTTCTTGCACCGTTTAAAAAATGCGTATGAGAATTTATGCGAAAGTGGTCAGGCGATTATAGTCTTTAGCTGTTTGCTATAAGAATGTTTAAAAACAGTTCTAACTGGTTGGTGTGGTTCAATATAATAATAATAAGCGTTTATAATTATTTTAATCTTTTAACGTTTGGAACATGTTAGACCATGGGTGGTAGATATATAAAATTTCCGCCCGGGCCACGATCTATCCACAAATGAAAAAGCCGTGAAGCTTAATCGCGTTTCGATTTCAGTCTGTGGATTATCGAATATCCAAAACCAAAATACGTTGACAGCGCATCTGGTTTAGATGCTATAGCCTGGAATATAACACCTTCCATCACGTAAACCCCATGCTTGTGAGTCCTCTATCATTAAAATTTTCGCGTTTTGAACCGTCAAAAGTGTATAAGAGTAATCCATATACACTATCTGTTTACTTCATTAAGAAATATAATACAATATCGTAATACACTTTATTTTCGAGTTTTATAACTTATATAAAACAACCTTGGCAGCGTCATCTAGTCTTTAAATATGTTTTTAATACTGAATAAATAATGTTTCAATTGCTGTATACAACTACAAATGTTGCGGTAATTTCATAACTTAGACCAAGCCGGGAAGTGTAGCTTTCACTGATTAGCGCCCTGACCGACAAGTTCATTGATAACATTATTTTATCGCCGCCATTTATTGCTGACTGACTTCATAACTTCCGAAGATTCATCTCTTTGTATATCTATTTATTTCGAGACAGGTAAACAAACGACAAGATTAATAGCAGATAATTTGTACTTCACAAGGGAACAATGCTTCCAAATAAATCAGTAATATCTGATTTATGGTATTTTAATTTTTAAATTAAAATCTATTGAAAACCGTCACCATAACATATTATCTATTCTTTCTGTACATATCTACTACTTACAGATGGATGTTTTATATTTATTCTTCATCTGAAAAATGCATCCGCAACGTCGAGTCGTAATTAAGATAGTTTTACTAATATATTACAGGGTTTAAACCGTTAACGTTTTATTTAAACTCTTTTAACTTATCAAGCCATTGAAATTAGACGTTGAAAACTTTAAAAAGAATTTGTTTGTATGCAAAAATTATACTGTACTCATAAGTATGTGTGATGCGATGCATTTGGATTGAATAAGAAATTTATTATATGCATTTAAAACATCCTATAGACACAATAAAATTAACCCAGATAAAATTGAATACTTATGTATTAAACATTCAGAAAGCCAGTGCATTATTCATATTAACAGCATTAAGACATACATATTTACATACAAATGTAAGAAAAAAACTTTTCTTTTTATTAAGTACGTGTTTGACCTTATTATATTATTTCCAGAGAATAGTGTAAACAAACAAACACATTCTTCCGCTTTATCTATACTAATAAAGTTGAAAAGTTTGTTTGTTTGAAGGCACTAATCTCTGGAAGTACAGGTTTGAATTAAAAAAAAACATTTATCGAGGAAGGCTACAGATAGGAAAAAACAGCAGGAAATATGGAAAATTCATCATTGTCGGTTTCAGTTGCGTACACTGCGAAAATGGTTCAAGGTACGCAAAATTGTCTTTAAACGATTAAAAAAAATGTCCTTGAAGTATATATCTATCTTTTAAGGTTAACAAGAATGACGGGACGCGGACAACGTTGTAGGCAATAGCAAATTTATAACGATGTAGAAGAGGTTTGCCAAAAACAAATTTTGGATGCCCAAAACTATTCTAAGCCGACGAAGTCGCTGTCACAGCTATATGTATATAGATTGTGTTAATAACAGATAGATCGATCCTGATGTTATTCGACAGAAAGATAGTGAATTTATAGTATTAATACCTAGATGCTTCCAAAAGTTTTCTCCTTTAAAACGCGACGTAAAAAATATATGTATATAACATAACTAGTGATTCAACATCAATTTCGATGAGATGGTATTCAAAACCATCATTCCACACAATAGGCAGCTATACGAATCCAGCAGCGGTAAATAAATAGCTGTATATGTACGCTCGCGTCGATAAATGATTTGTCATGATAGATGATGTAGCTATTAGTAGAAAGTAGGTGACAATGAAATATAGTAATGTGGGACGCTACCGGCATATTTGCAATAAATACTTGATTGAGATATAGATAAAAGTGTTGTTATCTTAATTGCGATGGAAAAATTATTGCTTTAGACTACTTAAGTAGTTTGGTTAGTCTTCTAAGACTATTCTTAGAAGACTAACCAAACTACTTATATGGGGTGTTTATGTGCTAATTTACTTAATGGCCGTTAAGACTACTGTGTCCACCCGATGAAATTTATTTATCAGGTGTTCGAATCCGAGTTTGTGATTATCACGATGGTAGGCGATTCATCCATTGAACCATAGAGGCAGTCAAGACTTAGAAGGCAGCTCGTTACATTTTAATTTGTTTACGGTTTACCGTAACCTATCCCTTAGTAGTTAGGCATGACAGACATACTTTTTTAAAATTATCTTTGCAAGTAAGTAATGTAGTGCTGGGATATGAGTCAAAGTTTATTTTAACACTTATTAACCGTTTTAAACGTGAAATATTTTAGTTAATTACTTTTAAACTACAACCCGGCAATAGAGATCTGATTCAGTACCTGTGACTGGAACACAAACAGTATACTATAGTTTTTGTCTTCCACTCGCGTAAATTATAAGCAATATTTTATTTTGACAAAAAAATGTACTAGCCGTGATTGATTTTTCCACTTCTAGAATCTTCGGGCTATGCCCTGCTATGTGTTACGTAGAAGTCTTCGGAGACGGGTTTTCGACAGACAAACAGTGAAAGTGCAGGCGATTAATTATAATAATGATCCGATGTTTGGGTGAAAGGGAATTCATGTTACCATATTGGGCCGGTGAAAAATAGCTGAAGCTCGGAGATTTATGACATATTGTATGAGGGAACCACCTTACTTGGCCTCGGGAAAAATAGCATTCAATGTAAAGAAAAGGTGATTTAAATACTTTGCTATACCATTTGGCCATTTTCCAAAAGGAAAAATGCAATGCCAATGTGTCCGATGAGATAGTAAGTTTCAAAATAAATCACGTAGATTTTATACATGTTACCACTAGATTTGATCTAGTGGTTTAGTAAACCTAAGTGCAGTCCTATCTTCGAATCTCGGAATTAACCTTTCATTCAAGAATGGGATCAAGAAATTGAATTTTTATAAGGATATTTCTACTATCAGCCCAAAGCTTAGAGCTGCTATGAGCCTGGCAATCTTAGGTGATCGCAAATGGAAATAGGAAGCTCTGGACAGATCGCGACGGTGGATACAGTTAAAGTAGATTGGGGCCCATAAGGACAGTCATTGACGATGATGGTGATCCTGGAGCCTGTATAAGCTTTCGAAATTATAAATAGGACGTCGAATGTCCATCTTTTATTTGAAAGCTTAAAACCCTCTACTTTTCTAAACTAATCTCTTCTGAAAAATGAAGTTAGAGGGCCCTCTAAGATCTGGGGTACTCGTACACTGTGCCACTTGACACG